CATCGTTCGGATTGAAAATAGTAAGTAACAACACTGACACCGTTCTACTGCAGAAAATTAACATTCACTGTGAGCGGTCTGACACTCAGAAAGTCAACACAATAAACTTTCAGAATCCGTAGGAAAAAAGTGTTTTTAATAATATGATCAGAGAAATCTTTTGAACGATATTAATCAAAAGTGCGAAACAATAACAATGATCTTCAATAATTGATCGTCAACGTGAGATGCATGCCCATGCCTTCGACGTTCGACTGGAAACTGGACTGGACTGGAGCAACCCGAACCCGAGTGGAAATTGAAATTTCAAAAATCAAAATCTTCGATGTTTTTGGAGGAAAGTGAAACATATTACATACCAATAGAAACGCCAGAATACCGAGAATCCAGTCGTGAACATATTTTTGCCATTAAACTGACTGAATTTGAATGAAACTCATAGTTTCGATTTCCCATGTTATTTCCCATAAGAAATAAAAATTTGGTCGTCGGGTGTCTGATTGGCTGAAAAGTAAGTGGGCGGGGCGTCGGGCGACCACGCACTTTTGTAATGCAATGCGGACTCTTGTTTTCTCTGTTTTCTCTTTGCCTGCACATGACATGAATTTTCTAGGTTAGGTTAATTTGTTATGAAATTGTTTTAATCTAAAACACACAGATCAAGAAATTTACAGCTGAAAAGCATATTTTCCAGCTTTAGGTAAGTTTTAAATTTTTCTATGAGTTATTGTAATTACTGCGGCAGCTCTCATTCTTGTAATTTTTGCCCGTCAAGTTATTCTATTTAACTTGCCCAGATTTCCACTTCTTTCAATGAATGTAATTAATCAAGCTGCAACTCCTCTGTCTTGGCATTTCAATGTTTTTTCCCTATAAAGCACGTACAAGAAATCATTGCAGAACCTTTATCAGAATTTCGGAATCATATTCAGCAATTAGCCCCTCTTGAAGCCCTGCAGCCTGATCGTTGACATTTTTTGTTTGTCGGGACGACATAGATAACATAGGTTAAAAGGCGGAGCGTGATTGATCGGCTATGTTTTATTGCTGCTTTGTCGTGCCTATGTCGGATTGAACTCTCAAGAAGCTAACGGCACCTCTTAAGTTTGCGACAGTGTTGTCCACTCCTCCTGACAAAGGCTTGGCAAAGCAGTGATAAGACATAGCCGACCAATCACGCTCCGCCTGTTAACCTATGTCATCTATGTTATCCTGACGAACAAAAAATTTCAACAATCAAGCTGCAGTTGTATGTAGCAAAACCGTTGGCATCAGGCTAAAACTTGCTTATGATACCTTAATCATATCATTCATATCGATAAGGTTGAAAATTTCAATTGGTAAATTTTGAGTTTAAAACCTGAGAAATAGAAAGCGTAGAGGAGAAATAGAGGTGGTGGCATTTTGTGATTTATTCACTCTTTAACACAGGGAAGTACTATATTTGGGTCCGAAAATGTTTGTAATATCGGGTATTTTTTGTACCCACGAGTTTCAATCTTGCAGACCTGTCATTTTTCCTTTTATCGAGGGATGACTAATTGCCAAATAAATTTTCTCATAATTTTTCTTTGTCCTCGCCATTAACTTATAGTATAGACCTACAAGCAGAAATTTTCAAGAATTTTCTTTTTCCAGTTTAATTCTTGCAGTGCACTTGGGTGCAATAAATTAAGGTGATTCGATGGACGCCATATGTTGTGTCAGAACGGCATGCGTTATATCGCATCAATTTGTTCCATATTTTCAGCTACTCGTCATTTTTCTCCTATTTTGAGATCGCACTTCTGTTGTCAGGAGTCTAAAGCACTCACTTACCAATTTTAACAAAGAAATTCAACGTAATAAAGGCGTGGTTTTTTCAGAGAGAAAATATCGCATTCGAGTGCAGTTTCGATATCAGTATCGAATGCGATGTTTTCTCTCTGAAAAAACCACGCCTTTATTACGTTGAATTTCTTTGTTAAAATTGGTAAGTGAGTGCTTTAGACTCCTGACAACAGAAGTGCTATCTCAAAATAGGAGAAAAATGACGAGGAGCTGAAAATATGGAACCAATTGATGCGATATATCGCATGCCGTTCTGACACAAAATATGGCGTCCATCGAATCACCTTAAGGGGCTTGGAGGACAAGGTGCACAAGTGCAGTTTTTGCTATTTCTAGAAATAAGTGTTTTAAGTTTCAAAATTACATGGAGACTCATGGCGGAATATGAGTTAGAACTCACTTATTGAAGCTTTGAAGGTGGACTTTTTGGATTTTAGTTTTGAATTCCTCACAGAATATACTTTCAAACCGATTTTAGTTAAGTTCATGAATAAGTATCTCAATTTTTTCAAAAACTGCACTCAGATGCCTTGTCCTCCAAACCCTTCAATTGTGTTATGATAAGCAAACTCAAACATGAACCCAAGATTACTTCGAACCTGAGTGGAATTGAGGGGCTTGAAGGACAAGGCACATAAGTGCACTTTTTGAAAATAATTTACTTCGATGTTAATGATTTCAAGATTTCAAGTAAAACTATTCTTTATGTATATTTTGTGAAAATTTTGCTCCTGCATTCCAATTCTCAAGCATGGAAAAGTCAGTTTGAACTTTCTTTCCGCCATGAGGAAGGATATAATTTCTAAACTTCAAACACGTATATATATTTCTTGAAATAGCAAAAACTGCACTTATGCGTCTTGTCCTCCAAGCCCATCAATCGGACTGCATTTTGCAAAAAGGAATCATGAGCATTCCAATGTTGCTAGGATTGTACAACTTACATTCTTTGCAATTAAACACTGACATTATGCTAAAAATTAAAGTTACAAGGTAATTTTCTTCTTGAATTTATAGTTTATTGGGAGTAAAGATAAAACTTGTTTCGATGATCAGTTTTTATCTGCACAGAAAAAAAAGTTGCACAATCTTAGCGACATTTGAATGCTCTCAGTTCCTTTTGCAGGGTGTCTATCGGTCCTCAAAAGTCCCCTATTTTCTTTTTCAGGTCCCCAAGTAATGACAAAAATCGTCGTAAACACCAGCATTTTCTAATTTTCCTGCCAGCCGAAAACAAACTGAAGCCTTGCTTGGTTTTTCATATTTTTTTATCGGTTCAACTTGACTTGTAAAATAAGTTGTGTAAAATACGCCTTTTAACACTCTAACCAGCTCCCTCTCTCTTATTATTCCAGGAAAAAAGTTTCCGATTTTCTTGAAAAAACACTCCGAAGAAGTCCCCAATTTTGGTTTTTTTTTAACTAGTAGACACCCTGCTTTTTGCAATATGCAATCCAATTAAGTTACTGTACTTAACTTCATTGCATCTTCAATTTTTTCAGGAATGGCTGGAGTTTTATTTGAGGACATATTCAATGTGAAAGACATCGATCCAGGTGGTAAACAGTTTGATCGCGTGAGCAGACTCCACTGTGAGAGCGAATCTTTCAAAATGGACCTCATCTTGGACGTCAACACTTGGCTGTACCCTATGGAACTAGGAGACAAGTTCAGACTGGTTCTTGCGGTAACTCTCAGAGAGGATGGTTATATTGACACCGGTGACTGGAACCCAATGGAGACGGAAGGCTCTCGTGCGGATTCTTTTGAATATGTAATGCATGGTGCCATTTATAGGATAGAAGGTGAAGATAGCTCAAAGGAACCGTCTAAAACTAAACTAGCAGCCTATGTATCATTTGGTGGTTTACTCATGCGGCTACAAGGTGATCCGAACAACTTGCATGGTTTTGAGGTGGATCAAAGTCTGTATTTACTTATGAAAAAACTTGCATTCTGAGTTCCAGGCACAAAAATTATTGTACCTAGTTTTAAGTTTAATTTTACCTCAATTTTCATGCCTGTACAAATTGTTTTATCTGACTGTGTAAATAAAATTATGTATGAAATTGGTGCTTGCATTAAATTACTCAAACTTGAGGAATTTGAAGTTCAATACCACGAGGGTGATAATTGCCTCTGCCTACAAGTTTAAAAAATCATTTGCACCAAAATAAATGTTGATGTCTCAAGAAATTCAAGCAGGATTAGTTCCCAAATGTAGCATTCAACACAGCAATAGATTGTTGCATTTAATGTGATACCTCTGCTGTGTACAAATTGTGTTCTTATTTCTTCTAAATTAGACTTTAATTGCCACAAACAATATTTCGGGCTCCTACCTGAAGTTAATTTTTCTTTCCCTCCCCTGTCAGCGTACCTAAAATTTAAGATTTTTAAAATTTTTAGCACATTAAATGCCAGTTTGATTATGACTTATGACTGGACCCCAGATTGAAGAATCTCGCCCTACTCTGCCGTGCTAAGGATAAACGCCATATGAACATTCAAATGCTGTCAAATTTCCCCTTAGAAAATATTCATTTTTCAGGAACTTATGGATAATTTGCCTTGAAATTTTCAGGCATTTCATAATGACAAATTACGAACAAAACTCTCGAAAAAATAGGAAGAAAAGTATTTACATATTTACCAAAAAATGTGTGATTTTTCAAAGAAAATTTTGTAAGTAATGTCTAAAGGCTCAAACATCAATCTTCCTTGGTACGGCAGTACTATCCTCTACCTCTGTGGGACCTTGATGGAAAGGGACCATAATTATTTAACACCCCTCAAAGGCAAGAATTTTTTCTCTAGGCAATTCAACTGCGTTGAATTTTAACAGTAGATAATAGAAACTTAATTTTTTCATTCAGATCGCATTCAGTAGAGGGGAACCAACAAGTTTACAATGTTTAAAAATTGTACAACATTCATCCCCTACCGTCATTTCATTTTCAAAAAAGCCATTTCTGGGTACTATTCAGAGTTGAAATTTCAGGTTGAAACTCAAGAAACTATCTCCAATACTTAATCAATTAGTTGGCTTTGACAAAAAAAACAAAGAAAAAAATTACTTTGATCCCAATTCTTTGCTCCCACTTACTTAAAATTTCATCCTGATTAAAGTATATTGATGCTTCGTAAATGATGAAAAAAAACTCATGGGATTGGTCTGATAACATTAATATTCGAACAATATTGCAGCAACTTGCAAGAAGAAAAAAAACATTCAGTATACAGAATCAGTAAGTTCATCTAAAATTGAAAAATAAGATGAAATTGAAAAACTTAAAGTTACTGACAAAATTGGTAGTGATCAATGATCATCTCATTAATTGTAAATAAAAAAAAACAAAAACAAACGTGATTCATATCAATTGATAACTTTCTTAACAGGAGAAAAAAGTCAACTGGAACATTGAGCAAGTTTCCTCTGAAAAAAGCTTAATTCACTCAATATTAATTATGCGCTGTGCCAGCTGACAATAGGAAAAGAAGTATTAGATTAAGGTGGATCTTCAGCTTTTGCACGATGCATTCTAGGTACGATTTATATACCTCAAATTTTAACCTTAGGGTGAAGTATTTGGAGAAAATCTAAATTTCAGTCTGTAGATAAATCATAGAAGAATGTTCCTGCTGAAAATCATCTTCCGAAATCTTGATTTTAAGTCAAAAGTACTGTTTCCATTTTGCAACCAATTTCAATGTATCAATATCGATGGTTAATTGGAAACAGTACTTTTGACTTCATTTTGAGATTTTGGAGGGTGATTTTCGGTACGAACATTCTTCAATGATTTATCTGCAGACTGAAATTTAGATTTTTCCAGAATAGTTCACCTAATGGTTAAAATTTGGCACGAGCATACAGATTTTACCCAGGATGCATTGCGCAAAAGCTAAAGATCCACCTTAACATAAAGATGAAATTTATGATAAAATTTTTTGACGGATTGTGAAGTGGTCAACAGTTCATTCTCCCTATCTGTCTCTCTCAAAATTAGTTAGCTTGGAAAAAAATTAATGGACAAATGACGTGATTTTTTTGTAAAATGCTCCTTAAATTTTGCCGTATCACTCTTGTTGATGCGCGTTTATCACTCTCCCATCTCCCAAACGAACTTAAAATTTCGAAAAATAGTGAACTTTGATGGATATGGTGCATAACTCACCAAAACTGCTCTCAATTATATCAAAGGTGTTTTTGCACTTTTTGTAGCAAGTATCAAACTTTCCACTATTGTCCATCCAAACAGTCTCTTGAATACGAAGTTTCATTTTCCAAGCAAGTTTCATCAATGAATGAGTATGCAAGAAAAGGAATTTAAACCTGGAACATGTTCTCCTAACCTATATCGACGGAGTAAGTCGGCAATCACATATCTCGGTTTGCAACGTCGCGGATTCTTGTCATACTTCATTTTTTAAAGGGAAAACTACTCAACGGCAATTCTTTAAAACTTCCGTGATTTTTCTTCTCTGCATGAAGAAAATTTTGCATGAACTTCAAGGAATGATGTCAATTTGTTCTCTTTTAAAAAAATAACATAGAGGCGGAGATTTTCAGACACCGCAAACGAGTTATGTGATTGTCGACTTACACTGTCGATATGTCTCTCCTTTCTTGGTGCAAAACAATTCCCTGATTTATTCTTCGTTTGGAAATTTAGGAAGATAATACTATAAAGTAACTTTTCATGAAAACATACAAAAGTTATGAAAATCACAGCAAAACGGTACAGTGCCATGGAGTTCATGCAAACATATTAATGCACTTTTAGAGACAGAAGATCAGCTATCATCAGTTGAGCATTGAAAGGAAATGCAAGAATCAAGACGGCAGATCGTTTACCTTACTCAAAAAGTACGTAAACTTATTTGGTGCGGCTTTTACCAGCAGGGAGTATTGTACATCGCAAGATGGCAAGAGTGAATCTAATTGATACAAGAAGTTTGAAAATTTAAAGAGAAAAATGAACTTTTAGTCCACTATTCTAAATTACAGATGAAAAATTCAAGATCAGACATAAAATAAGCCCTCACAATGTCTTGAACACCTATTTTTTAGAGATCAAATATGTAAAGGTGACAAAGTTTACCCGCAAGGTAACTGTGAAATATGGTGCAGAAAGTACCCTTGAAATTTCCAAAATTTAGCTAACAAAATATGTGTCCTCATTTTCGCCTGGGCAACCTCCATGCCAAATTTCAACCTTTTGTAATGGTTTTTTTTTTTTTTTTTTTTCCAAACAAAAAAAAATCTGTGAACCTGCGAATACTTCTACTGAATGAGGCTTTGTTTCCTGTGACAGCAGTCTAATCGATATGAAAAACAAAACGTATGTTTGATATGAAACAGAGAAGAAAAATTACCCTGTTTTTTCTGTGTCAAACAAAGTGCCTTAACTTGTTTGAATGAACAAAGTTTTAAGAAGTTCTCTAAGATACAAGTAAAAACCTTCAGTAAAAATACTTCGGAAATTAATTCTAAATAGTTACAATAACAAAATCAATTAATGAAGTAAAAAACAGTTTGTGCCTTAACAGCTATTCTTACAACTGACACTAATGTGATTGCTATTTATAACTACGTTTGTTTTCGTAAAAAAGAAAATGTGTCACAGAGCAATTTTCCTTGGTGGAATGAGGAATGTTGAAGACAGAGGGCATTGTAAGATTCAAAAACATTGAGAATCCAACAATATTTTATACATCTGGTCTTGAAACATGCAACCGACTCACAATATTTCTAAATTCGAGGAGCCCAGGGGTTTTTTCAAATTATTAAGGTCATGAATGGTTATTAAGAGTTCAAATTAAAGGAAATTGTTTTCCTAGAAATGAGTGAATTTTCTGCACACCTTCAAAATATAGAGTTGCTAAGGCCGACCAGACCACTTTCAAAAGTATGATTTAGGCACCAAGGGGACCACAGTTTATCCATTTCTATCGAATTATAAAGATTTTGTTAAAACTTTTGATCAACCTTTTCAGTGAAATTAAAATTAAAGAGATTTTCAAAATGGTGTGGGTCATTTGTGCGAACACGTAGTTCATACACTACTTATTCTAATCCAAGCTGAGCTGTAAGACGGTTGTGATCATTGTTCATGATAAGAGACCTTTGATTACTTTTTAACTTGGTGGTCTCTTTAATTGCTCAGAATCTACAGGTGCGCCTTTAGAAAAATTCTCTTTCCAACTCTGTGAAAGTTGCAACCGTACAAGTGCCTCATGGATACCATTTGGCTCATGTCTCGAAAATTTATTTGAAGTAACGGGAAAACTAATTCATCATTCCAACGAACAAAATGACAGAGACACGAAAAAAGACGTGCTCTGGAAAAACTGTCGTTCACTTCCACGGCAATCTTTTTAGAAAAACAAGGACAAATAATGGGGAAGAAGTTATAACTTTCAATTTCCTTTGTTGAATAATTTGTAAAACATCAACAAATGAACACTGTAAGTCAAAATTCTACAATCTATTACTACACAGTAAAACTGGTTCTTTCCAACAACAGACTACTGGTGAGAAAGAGATTTTGCACAAATTAAAACCAGTTTTTTTGCAGACACCAACTTAATTCTCGAAACAGCATCTTGAGGATGCAGAGATTTGCAAGATGTCAGCCGCTTATAATTATTTGGTACTTCATGTTCACAGCTAAGTCCTCAATTTCCTCAACATTTTTACTACAATTCCCGTTTTTCTAAAACTTTATGCCAAGATGTTAGATGTCCGAGATTTAAATGCAAAACTATCATTTTTTGGTTGTTTCTACAAACTTCTGACTATGCCTCACTTTTTCCATCACCTGCAAGTTACAATTTTGGATATTATCCCCACCCCTGTGCCTACTATGTTGTCACTGCCTCAAATTTGTGGGCATTTATGCTAAAAGCAGCCCGGGCGTAATTTCTATCTGACATTAAAGTAGCAATAAATTGAATTAGCCTCTTGGAAGTGAAAATTATTTTTCCAGAACCCATCACAAGGCATGATAATTTCCTTCATTTCTGACGAGAGCATGCATCATATCTTGAAAAGTTGAGTCGCAAGGCCTTCGATCAAAGACTAAGGGTCGAATGAGAGAAGCAGAAAATATTACAGTGAACAACTACTCATACTAAAAACAACCTGCGGTAAATTAGGAATGCTATTATTAGAATACACACAGCCATGGCAACATTTAAAAAACTAGAAAGATGAGTGCTGGATGTTGCAGATTGAAAGTTATTGTTTAAACTGTTGATGCAAGGTGATGGTACCCTTGCGTTGGTAGTTATGTTTGCAATAACCTCGGCAGGTGTGTCCACAAGCAATGAGGCATTTTGGGGATTTTCTTGTGCAATTTTTCCATTACTGCTTTCCGGTATTTCCTTTTAAAAGAAAATAAATAAATGATAGAACACAAGCCATTTTAGACATAAAAATTAAGATGACCAAAAAATTTAATTAATCAGATTCTTATCATGAGGATTCATACAGATAATTTTTAGCCTTTTTATTTTTAAATTGATCTTTGAATTTTGTTTTGAGAATCACTTGTTCCCTCAATGTTTTCAAACTTCAGACCAATGACCTTCTTCTCCCCTTCTCTCTTTCTCTCTCCCCCCTCTCTTTTCAGAATGGGTCAGTGGCACTCATCACAGGGTTGTGTTTTGATGATTTCAGATTATAGATTAGTGCAAAAATTATAAGACGCTCTTTTTGCTTTGCCCAAACATCAATTTGCTACATCCAATATTAATGGAAATATCATCCTTCTAAAACACAGTGTATGATGTCATTTACCATGGTGGTGCATAACATGATTTCTTCTACCTTGGTTTCATCCGTGTTTACAGTCGGGCAAAAGTAAGTCTCACTAATTGATGAATTTAAGATGGAAGAAACCATCGGATGTACTACCAGGGTGGATAACTTCATACACCGTGGTTTGTGATGACCGATTTTAAAGAGTCCTTAAAAACTGGTCACTACCTATCAAGAATTGAACCCTGCACCTAAGTGCTAACAGTAAACTGCCTCAATCACTGCATCAACAAAGCTGGTCACTGAAGGGCATAATATTGCATTGGTGACCCGCCTTATTAGTGAAGTGGTTAGGGCAGCTCGCTGCACATTGTTTCTTAAAACTCTCTTTGTGGATGGATCAATTTTGCTTCATGAAGTCCATATTTTCATCTTATTACAAGCAGCATAGACGCACTGCTAGAAAAAAGAGAATACGCATAAGAAAGTTTGAAATCTCACTTCATTTGAGGATGTCTTCTCACATTTGGTAACACTACTTGCTTGTGGAGCCTTTGGTGAATTTATGGGAGGGAGAAGGTCACTTAATTTACCACACTCTGGACATTCCCAACTGTGAGATCTGAAAAAAAATTAAGGACATAGTTAAATTTTATAAATTCATCTATGATTAAACCTGTGGCTGAGATGACCTTCCAAACAGATTTTAACACAAATGCACCAAGTCACATCAAGTTCCGACTGAGAAAATGAGGTTTTAAAGTGTATTTCTTCCATAGGACAAAAACAAACATGTTAGGAACTTTTAATATCTATTTTTACCTTTGAGATATTTTTTCTCGATTATGAATTTTTAATAAGGGAAATTCCCAGCTCATTGAATCCTGAACCTGAACTAAAACTAACCCATTTTTCTCCACACGACTTTGTGGACTTCTGATAAGCTTGGTCCATATCCTAACCGATGATACTGTAGCTAAGTATGTCCATGGTTTATGACAGTTTTTAAACAGTGAAATGAAAGACTTTTCCAAAAGGACCACTAGACAAGGTACGGATTTAGGCATTCGGATACATGTTCCTTAACCAGAATTTCACGTAGAACACAATTTGCGCAACAAAAACTACTGAAACTAACTCCTACCGAAGATATTAACGTTTTTATTTCACATTGGTTGCGAGGAATTTGAACTGCCTGCTCACAAGAAACTCAAAGCTCTACGTGAGTCAAATCGCGCACTACAACAGTTTCAGCAAGCTTCTCAATCGAGCAATGTTCATTTCCCACCATGTATTGTTCAAACTATAAGCAATTTGCTATAGCTGAGCCAAAGCGTCAAGATTGAGGTTGCCAGATTTTTATATAGCAGAGACTGTCATGATAACGTTTAGCGCGCGATGTGGATCACGCAGAGCATTGAGTTTTTATGAGCGGGTGGTATGAATTCACGCATTAAGAATCATTAAATATCTTCGTAAAGAGTTGGTTTCGGTAATTTTCGTTGTAAGCATAATGTTCTACATGAAATTTTGGCTCAGAAACATGTATTAGAATGCTGAAGTTCGTACTTTGTCTCGTGGTCCATGCTCCTGAAAATTTTGCAGCGGCAATATTGGGCATTCTTGTGCCGGCAAGTTTTTTTGACTGCACTTGCAGATGCTGTGATTTTGGTCTGATATCAGGGGAGAACGCAATAGTGTATTTCCTTCAGGAAATTCTCTAAAAATTACCTTCTTTTTGCTTGTTAAAAAATTTCCTATCAATTTTGATGCACATTTGAGTATTTTTCTAATTTAAAAAGATCAATTCATCAAGAGTAGAAACAAAAATTGAGGCTTGATCGATTGAAATTTACCAACTAGCGCTTTCCTTTCCTGTAATAATTTGTGAAAAAAACACAAATGACTATAGGCAATCATTTTAATGCAAATCACTTTAAGTATTCAGATTGTCCACAGCAACATACTAGTATCTATCATAGATTTCTACCTGAACTGAGACAAAAATGAGTGAAACTTTTGATCCTTTTTAATTAGTTCCCCTTTCCCGAATTTCAGGTATTTCCACATTTCTCATGCCTGGGTTGGCACGTGATCCGGCATTTTTTGCACCCCTGCTTTAAAATTAGGAGGATTTTTAGGTACTTACTTGCGGGCGAGACGTTGCCTTTCTGCTTTTGTATAATCGAGTGAACCTATTGTTCCGTTACCGGGAGTGGGCATGAATGCAATTATAGCTAACAGAGCAGTTCTAATGGACCACGATGGCTGCCATGTTTCTGGGTGGTGACCTGATATACTAAGGCAGATTTTTTTGTTTGTTTCAAACCTTCCATTTGGCTAAAAGGGAAAAAAATTGGATTACAATTAATACTACTATACTGACTTTTACATACTGTGCACTATATCAGTGGAAATACACAAATTTGGGTAACATACTTGTTCAAGTCTAGAATGGAGGAAATTTAATTTCTAAAGATTTTGACAAGATTTTGAGAGTGAAATTTCCTATTTTTCTGACTCAACAAAGGAAGAAAAAAACTGAAAATTTGAAAAACGTACAAGACTTTAAAATATAACTTTAGGTTGGGGAAAAAACTGAGGTCTACAAAGTTTCTTACGTATTTCAACATTAGAGATGTACTTAGAATATTTTTGATCTTGCCTGTTTTTAAAAACCTCTTACAGTCTGTAATATTTCAAGGTACTTACAGTACCTAGAATATTTTAGGGTTTTTTTTCTTCTTTTTTTTTCGGACATTTGGAATTCCTTACCATCTATGATTGAGCTTATGACGAGGAATTTTCACCTCAATATAAAGCAGCTACTTCATTCTCAAAAACCTATTTTATATCTTTGTGGGGAAAACCAAACTCAACTAATCATCACAGCTATCTTATCGAGCCACCTACTTAGTAATTTAGCTGACAGATATTCCATTTACATGAGGAACAGGCTACATCAAGTTCCTATACCCCTGGAATCTGCGATTACGAAATTTCAGCATCTTTCAACCAGGGGTGCAGAATTTTCCAAGCTTCCACATTCTCAGGCGCCTGGCCGCAGACTTTCCACATTTTACCGGTTGCCTTTCCATAAAATTTCATCTCACTTTCCAAAGTGATGACTTTTTTTTCTTTCTTTTTTCAATGCCCGCATTAACAAGTTTTATGCGTTTCAGTGGGTTATTGTGTTGAATTGATCCAAAAGCAAATAAACTGTGCATTTCGCGATGCACAGGGGTATTGAGAGTGGATATAGCTCTCGAAATGCTATCCTCCCATCATTAGGATGCTGTTTTTTTGCTAGGGGTAATCTTATCTTATTTGTTGCATTTATTCAAAGCGCTAACAGGGTATCACTTAAAAAATGTATCAATCACATGAAAGATGGTTAAGGTCTTGAAAATATAGAAAGGCTCCGAAATGTAGAAAAATTCGTGAAAATATGTTGAAAACGTAATAATTTTCAACGATATCCTTCAACATGAGTATCCTCTTCCCTCAATTTGTCGCTCCTCTGACGTATGGGCGTATCTCGATTTCCACAGGAGCCCTGTTCTCCGTATAACTCGATAATCTCTGGGGCTCATTAGAAAATAGAGATACGCCCTTACGTCAGAGGAGCGAAGAACTATTGATGTTTTTCAGTGAGTGAGAAAATTGGGCGCGAAATCGGGCATTTCTGCACCCCTGCTTTCAACCAGAAATTTAGTCAGGTTGAATTTGAGTAAATCTTTAAATACTTACTGTAACCAGAATTATGTTTGGAGGCTGCATTGGGTATTCGATTGGCAGTAGAATCCTTCCATGGTAAAGACCTCCCTCAAAGTCGCTATCTGGAGGACCACGGACGGTGAAATGCCACTCAAACAGATTGTCTTCAAGAGGGTAAGCATAGTACTCATCCGTTCTATCCTTCAATTCTGAGGATTCACGCATCAGACGTTTCACACCTGCAGATAAGTGAAAAAGGGAAAATCAACAAGAGGATAAAACTATGAATAAAAATGGATTTAGGACTTCCCTAGCTAGAGCAGACGCATTGTATGTTGAGACAAAAGTCAAGTATTGTCATTGCCTACGAGAATGGAGAGCCCGTAACCAGTAATTTTTGTGACGTCAAGCTAGTAGATATTTACTGAAAACAACAAACATCTTTAGGTCTTCGGTGCATCAATGAGTGAGACAATCACTGCATGGACCAATCAGAGTGGCCCTCCATGGCCGAATTTGCATGAGCGGCGCGTTTGAATCTGAGTGGAGTAACAATTTTCGGTATTAAGCTTTCATTTCCTTGATTGGCAGACAATGTCATAAATAGATTAGTTAGTTTTCTGGAGGGAAAAGTCATCCTCTTTCGAAAAGGTTCTCATGAATTTTTGAATCAGATCAACCCCAAGAAGATATCGGCTCGAAAGGAACACGCGTCAGGCGTTCTCCCATAAAAACACATGTTAAGCTGCAGCCGAGTTTCATCTACTAGCATGACATCACAGGAACGCAGATACGGCCTCTCCATTCTCGTAGGCAACGGTGTTGTTTAGGTAACTACTCGGTGCCATCTAACTCCATGTATTAACCTGTTGAGTGGTGCTAATTCGGAGGTTATCAGAGATTGACATTTGTCTCAACATACGATGCGTCCGCTCTACGTCCATGGCTGCATGTACCTGTCATTGACAGGAACTATGGCAGATTTATCTTGCCTAATAATCATAAGATCTACCATCTACAGACATTCTCCAATCAAGGTCATGAGAGGCATGATGACAAATTTGTTGTCTAAGTAGGAAAACATAAAATTCTACGATAACTTTCCTCCTCCAGAGGATGAATATCATGACTTGAAACTTGAGAACTCTAAGATCCTCCGGCGAGAAGCAAATTTTGAATTAGGTTGACATCTATGCATACGGGTAGATAAATGTCATAGCAATTTTTATAAAAAGGATAGATCGTAAAAAGCCCTAGGTACCTGAGGGCACTGGAAGGTAAAAAGCTCAGGCATATTATCTGAGGGTTTTGATGTAGTTGATCATCAGTCAATGATGGAAGAGCGGAGGAGGACTTTCTAAAAATTTTAGATCACAGGAGATGAAAACAAGAAAATCTCACCAGTGCTTTTGATGTTGTATTTTCCTTCTACATCCATCTCTGCTTTTGCGAAAGCAAAGTTTTAAACTGGAAAAGAAGATGTGTTTAGTCAAAAGTCAAAGATGAAAAGTAAGGACAAATACTTCGTGAGTGAATTTAATGTACTAGCTAAAAGCTACTGGATTACTTTTTCGTAAGAGATGATGTGAAATAACACGGCACTTTAAAATTTATCACTAGACTCTACGATAATTTCCGTTCTTATCAGTAATCAGTGTAACAAGAACGATTTGTTTTGAGTTCATTGGCGAATTGATAATCGACGTTCCCCGACCGACAAGGAAACGTTCACGTTCCACCGTTGTTCACCAATTGTGAGATAGGATGCGCCACTAGCGATCTTGCAAGCGCATCCATAAAGGCCCTATGCCACCTATTATGCCGTATGTACTCCATTGATCAATGTTGACGAAAGGTGTGTTGTGTTTGTGTGGTTGTGTTTTTAGGCCTCCATTGACATTCTTCAACTATTGTTCCATTATCTCATTTTTGTGATTTCTGTGCGTTTATGTGATTGTATCGTCGCACCTCGAAACACATACATTTTTGTAATGTATTTTAAATTATGCATAATCATTTACTTCACATCTTTATGTGTAGGATTGACTTATACATCTTCAGAGGTAAGTTGAAATTGCAGCTGACATCTAACCTTATTATTTCAGTTGCTCCAAATTTTTCATACATTTTCATGAAGAAACCGATCGATACTTGTGTTCTGTCTCCAGTGAATTCCATAAATGATTTCTGTAGGATCAGCAGCACAGAATACCCTCTCACCTCCCACTTGAAGGTTATTATCGTGATAGTCTGATGGCTCATTGTTTATCACTACCACTTTACATCCCTAACGATCCCTCCTCTCGCTCACGAAACCCTGAGATAAACTTTTTACCACACACCTTTCTCCATCACCTCAATCACCATATAACTTTCCTCGGGGTTGAGCCTAATTTTACCTAAGTAAAGTTAGCTTCTAATAGCACCCTACTATACGATCAAAAGTAGGTAGCCAGAACCATTTAAGTAAGGTGCGAAGCTATATATCAAGACCTCCTATTCACAACACGGATTCCATATAAACATAAGTGTCTAATAAGTAGCCTAACTTCTTACTGCAAATAATGCTCTTATTACTAATCTAAGATCAATTACTTATCAGAGCTAAACTTCATCTGATGTGTCAGATTGTAGCCCGGCACCATATCAATGATACCCACCATGAAAGTTGAGACGTTTTTAACTGAATTGTTGAGTGTGCTCAAATTTCTCTTTACTTAATTCGTAAATTACTAACCTAGTAACAAGGTACTTGAATTACTGTATTTTCTTGATTTGTACCCCTGGATCTTAGCTACCTCGCGATGTCTGAGTTAAGCTGAAGACCCGTGAAAATTATTGTCATATGCTGGCCTTCTAGAAATGCTTGTATGAATTTTATTGTTTTATGAGGTATAGTTCTACATAGGTAGAATATTTTTTACAGCATCTAGGGTGGGTAGAAATCCAAAGGTCTGAGTGGTTGCCATATTTGAAGGGCCCGTGTTTTAAGTCTAGGACCTGCTGCTTAAAGGGAGGTGTGTAAGGCGCTATCAATATCTACCTTTCATGTAGACAGAATACTGTCTACTTACAAAGTGATTTTTTAAACATTCAATTATGTTACCTTAATTGGCATGTATCAGCCCCTTAAAATGCATTATGAATTGTGTAGGTGAAAAATTAATCATAATGAAAAAATATCCCACAACCTGAAGAAATGAAGTCATGTTTGGGGGCATTGTCCTTGTTGATAGTGCCGCATCAGATGGCATTAAAAAAAAAAAAAAAAAAAAAAAAAAAAAAAAAAAAAAAAAAAAAAAANAAAAAAAAAAAAAAAAGAATTAGGCTGCTACTGTGATAACAATCAAGTAGATCTTGTTTTATTGAGTAAAGAACTATCTATCTTTCTAAGTCCACACTTTTTCTTCTTACATACATATCAAGCTGCTACCTCAGCGCACTACAGCGCTCTGCGACTCCAAATCGCCATCGGAATCGATCCTCCCACAAATCATCGGGCAGATTACACCGTCTGATCTCCCCCTCCACTCCCTCACGCCAACCTTTTAGTGGACGTCCACGCCGCCTTCTTCCGGGAGGAACCCAATCAAATACCTTTCTGGGCAACCTACTACTACTTTTTCTTCTTTCTTTTTTTTTTATGGCAGGAACACCAGTGCCGTCGAGTTGAGCTTTCAAGGTAGAACTCTGATCACTGGGGAAATTTGTAAAATTCAATACCGTTTTCTATTATGTCAGGGCTATCCAAGGATTTGCAAATTGTAATCACACTGGGTTGTGCAAAATCTTGCCCACTCTTCCTCCTCTTTTCTTTTGGAAACCTGAAAATTGAATACCTACAGGTTAATTTCCCTACGTAGCCCCAATATTTCTTGCAAAAGTATTTTTAATCTCTTAAATTCATTTTTTCCCCCTTCCTCCTCTTTCACCTGTTTCTTTCAATTACCCATTTTATCATAAAAATACTGAGTTCAGGTTTGAAAATGAATAAGTTGAGCCCTCTTCTCCCTCCTGTTTCAATTTTTTAGCTCCTATTCTTAAGTAGTATTTTGTGAAATGTTAATACCTTTGCTGTCTTCTGTGGAGCTCATAAAAAACAATTGGACAGAGTTTAACAGAAAGGAACCAAACCACATCAGCTATTGCCAAAATTAACTGGGCAATTCAAATATTTATGAAAGAACGTTTGTGCGGATTTCTGTGAAAATGATAAGGAATTTTCTTCGTACTATGGAGAAAATTCACTAAGATTTGCACGAAAATTCGCACTACCGTTTTCACGTAAAAACTTAAATTGTCCAATTAAATTTGGCAATAGCTGATGTGGCTTGGTTCCTTTCTATTTAACTCGATCCAATTGAAACTGACAGGCTTCCTTACATCAACAGACAGTATCTTATCATTTCACAAATCTGATTGCTGCATAACAATCTGTGATTCTTCAAATAAATAATGAGATGCACAGCCTAAATTGATAACTCATGATAAAGGATTTAATAATCTGTGCTTCTCTTAATGATCTTTCCTATGTAATTTTGTGAGTCATCAAAATGCTGATTAGAAACTGAACAAATCATTTCAAATCTTATGGTGAACATACCAACTCTCAATGATGTACTTTATATTTTGATGGTCCAAGTGCAAAACCACATATCTCTGTTTGCAACGTTGCAGACTTCCTGTCTTACTTTATTTTTTCCCTGGAAAACCAGTCAATATAAGGAATTTCTTAAAAATTCTCTTGATATGTTTTTCTCTGTCAGCGCAATATTCTGTATGAATTCCAAGCTGTAAAGCTGGCTTTTTTTTCCTCATAAAAATATAGTAAGAGCAGAAATTCTGAAACATCTCAATGGAGGTATGCTTTTTTGCACTTTAACCATCGATTTGCTTCTTTCAACAATAAAAACACACTAAAATACAAAAAACCAATGGGTATACAAGGCTAGAGGAGACATTCTTTCTAAACTTCAATTTTTATAACTCAGTAGTTTCAGTCATTATCATATAAAATAGAACTGGGGAAAGAAAAGAATAGACACAAGTCATATCAGTTTGGCCCATTGGTTAGCATGTATATCTGTTGAATGGTGCAATTTTTGGACGTGACATTAGTCTATTCTTTTCTCTCCCCAGTAAAAGTTAATGTATACATACAGTTTGTTTCTAATGTCCTCTGAGGAGCTAATGCACATCTTACTGTGTTGCAACATAATTAAGACTTTCTACATAGGTATTAGGTATTTATTCAGCAATCAGAAACCAAAAAATAACCCCTGTCCTCCAAAGGCCAGTTCTATTTTACCATGACAAAGTACACTTCAGGAAATATAAGCATTTTAGATTTAGGCAAAGATCCTTACTCTAAACTTGTTGAGGGTTTTTTTCTCTATTTCTTTAATCTCTTTTGCTATCTCAATGCTTAGACGTGTAGTGGCTCAATGTCGGTTGTGCTTATCCTCTTATCAATGCTTAATTAGACGCATTTTTGCAAAATAAGTCTATTTGTAATGAAAATCCGATATAGATAGACCTCTTTTGAATACATGCGTAAAATTGAGAGCAGAACTCATAGTTGAATTGCTCTCAGACTCTCCCGTCCACTATCTTTCATCGATTTTTTGTAGGTCATAAGTTCTTCCTCTTTCTCTTCTATGTCACGCTTAGTGCACTCTTGGGTCTTATTTTCATGTCTGCACCTGCAGATTTGATTCCATAATTATTAATCCTCTCTTCACATCAGCCTCAAAAACCATTTCCATTGTGAAACAGTAGAAATGCTTATCTCAGGTGCTATGCTTCAAAATTTTCACTTACAATTAAATGTGGTTCGTACTGACGAATATTATTTGACTTTTTTGCATCAAACTTCTAGAGATTATTCTCGAGGGTGCCAAAAGTAAAAAATGAAACAAGAAATCTGAAACATTCCAAATACAGTCACAATTTTTCCAGTTTCACCATAGATTTCTTCAAGTCTTTATTCACTTAATATCAATAGCTAAGACCTGGATAGGTAACTTATAAGAATGACTTCATGTTTTCAAGGCATTTGCTCTTTTGCAGTAATGAACAAGTATCAAATTGATTGAAAATTAGACCCCTAGTCATTATAAGAACTTAGTCCAAAAAAAAAAAAAAAAGGCTTCAAACAATTTTGAATACCCCCATCAACATCAACCCTGAAAACGTACTGCTGAATCTCAGTTTCTCCTTTACTTTGATAATTTTTATTCGTGAAATAAATGGATAGTGGCTAAATAAGTTTTCCCAACATTTTTAAGGCTAACATACTTAAAAGAAAAGAGAATGAATCAATAATTAAATGAATTAAACGATCAGAAAATACACAGTGTTGAGCATTACGTAAAGGCGTCCTAGACACCCTCTGAGTGTCATGTACTTTATGAGAAGCCCCTAATCATTTGCCTTCTTCTTTCTCAGAATCGAAATCACAAGGATTGGTCAAGCAGTCTGAAAGATGATATATACATGGATGATGACGAACCGGAGGGGTCTGGACAGAGAGAAATCAAAGATGATCTAGAATCCAGTGGCTCAGGCTATGGGCCCGACGATGAAGATGGAGAAGGAGGCTCTGGTAAGTGTGGACCTTCAGTTCTTCCTCTATTTCATTTCTTCTAAGAACGACAAGCTTACTTTTTAGCTTGAGATCTATACAGAATACTAGCTTTTCCAGAGCTGTCACAACCAGCGAACGGCTCCTGCCCCTTGGATCCTGGAGCAGTTGCTCCACGCTCACTGCATGACTTGTTCTGCAAGCCTTTTCATTTTGACTGAAAATTATCAAAAAGGAAGAATGGAAGATAGGAGCAAGAAATGAAAAAGAATAAATGCAAAAGAAACAGTAATGGAAAACATTGAATAAAAGAGAAAGAATTAGCAGAAAAAAAAGGACGGGAAAAGGTAGAGATAAAGGTTTGTATATAATGAAAGCAAAAATAAATAAGCAGGTCAAGAATTTAGGAGAAAGAAAGGAAACACAAATTCTTGAAATTCGTGGTTCAAAGAAATTATCTAATTCTGCCAATGAAGAAAAAAAAGCATGGATGTTTTCAAAATATTGTGTTGACTAGTTTTCTGAATTTAAAATAAAGCATGACAAGATGTCTGCAAAGCAGCAAACGGAGATACTTCGTTTTGCACCTGAACCATTGATGTACATGATCATCGCAAAACCAAAATCATGAAAGAAAAAAAAATGTCTTCTCATTTGCAAATGGGAAATGATATAAATGACTGACTGACTCAAACAAACCTGCTCTTAAATCTTAAACTGAAGTTTTGTGACTCGATTGGATGCATTTATACAGAAAATACATTTACCGCCCAAGTTTTGAAAAATAAACTTTGTATAGGGAATTTCTACACTTGAGAGCTACTTAAATTGGAGCCTACCCTGGCCTGGTGCCATTTTCTGAGTCCTTTTTGCCAGCACCCTCACCCATTTTCATGAAGATGCTCTAAAAGTCCAGAGAAAAAAAGAGAATGTTGATTGTAACATACTTGTATGTTTTGGTATCACTATCTTAATCTTGAATTTTTATGGACTAAAATCTCTGAGCCTGCAGACAATTACAATCTTCAGAGAAAAACTTGTGTCAATTCGAATTCATGATGTTTGATGATTCATGATTGAGTTAATATGTATTGAAATTTTTGGATTTGTTTATCTTGTCCTGTGTGAAATTAACACAATGAAACAAGTCCTCTGGAAGTTTGGAAATCTTACCCTGTCATGTGAGTGGTTCATAGAAGTTGCTCACGTATATTCTATTTCTGTGTTTGCAGGAATCAATATAAATAAACAACAACCAACCAAAACCAAAACGATAGTTGATGAAAACCCGCCTCCATCACCAGTAGATCAAGAGAATGTAGCAGTAAGAACACAAAATGTGGTAAGTTTTACTTCTTCAAACAATTTTTTCTATAAATGGGCCAAATTTTATTTTCACTCGAGCCCTTAAATTTTTTTTTAAAAAACTCCATTAAGTACAATGTTCAAGGATTGTACAGGATGTAAGGTTACTCTTTCAATATCTCCTGAATAAGATAAAAGGAGAAAATAATGTAAAAAACCACTCTCAGCTGTTCAGACCTGTTCACTTCATCAAAAACACTCTCTTGCGTTTAAGCCTTTAAACTGTTCATTGTTCATCTAGTAACAGTGCTGCTGTGCTTAGGAACAACGTGGTATGAACATTTGAGAGTTGCCTCTCCTCTGATACAATTTTTATTTTTGAACAGAGACATGAATATTTTCTCTCGAAATTTTCAAATAATTCAGATCAGATTCTGAATAAAATTCTCTTTGAAATTTGAAGGAAAATACTTGTGGATTCCTCTGAAAATGCATATTTTTTCAAAAGAAATTTGCCAATGTCTGAAAGTTTATACAGCATTCTTCCTTAGTACGGCAGAGTAGTTATCTTGATAAAATTTGCTCACTGTCCAATTAAAGTCATCCAACAAGTCTCCAATTTTTCAACCAGTGCACAGGGTGATCCAGATGTCCTGCCTCACCAGCACCTGGCATCACCCCTGTAATTTCTGGAAAAATTGACGAAGAGACTCGAAATTTTGTGAGTACATCTGGATCAAAGGAGACTGTTTTTGGGGACGGTACCAAAATTTTGAGGGGATCACTGTGAAAAGCAGTAGAAACCTGGGGGCAATAAAGGTGGTACTGGATTTTCACATCATTCTGTACAGTCACTGTAACTGATACTCATCTTTCTGTCCAGGGTGTTGAATTTGCTCCAAATGGTGGCACTGGCGTAAATGAAATCGGACCTCCTCCTGCCCGTGAGCCAACAGACGTTGAAGCAACAGACGACAATAACCGACAAGACAATGATGTCACCTATAGTCCAGAAGACAGAGCTACTTCGTTCTTTGCCCAACCTGGCATATTAGCAGGTATGGATTACTTTCCTCTTCTTTTTCACAAACATTGCTGTACTATCTTTAGTCCATTTGCATACATAGACAAGTACATATTTGTGTCAGAGTTTTCCCAGGACAACTGTGCCTAGGCAATTTAACTCAATTAGACATTTATTTATTCTTAGTGGGCACTTACTGTAGTACTTTTATTATCAAAAGTGGTGGTAACCACTCCCGGTCAAGGAAAATGACTTCCTAGTAATGTCCCGGTAAAAAGTGGCAGACACTCTTAGTCACACATTACTCACTTAATTTGAAAATTGATTCGGTTTAGAATGGAATTCAGAGCAAATGACGGCACGGATTCCAACAATCTTGGTGTCTATGGATGCAGGTAAATTTGGGCGATGGTGTTTAAGGTTTTCATGAAGATCCGTTAAGTTTTCAAAAAGTTATAGGCACTTTAAGGCCCAAAATGGCGAAAATGTTACTTTACATGGAGCCGTTATGCGAAATGTTAAAACAACCAATACCGTCCGCCCTACCTGGAGCTCTATTGGTGTGAGGCTTACACTTAGAAAAGTACAGTTTCGAGAACAAGAAAAAAAAAGTCCTGAGAACAAGAGCTTCAAATATTTTAATTTGTCATTTTCACGGCTCAGAATTAAGACCTATACTCTCTGCCAATACTGTTTTTGGAATTTTTGTACCTTTAGGTATTAGTAGTAGAGATAGCAGGTCGATCCCTTGTTTACTTGACTACATATAAAATTCAATTTTAGAACAGTGCAAGTCAGACCAAGTGGGTGATGTGCGCCAATAACCAACCATCCATGTACTGGTGTTTATTGCCCATCAATGTCATTTTTCATTTTGTGTTACTCCAGCAATGGCCTCAGTTGTCAAAGTAAAATAAAACTTTGCATCCTCTGCTTACATGGTGAACAAAAGGACAATTACCAAGCATCAGTTTGGGTTATTTTATCAATTTATCAGGCCATTTTATCTTAAGACATAGTGCCGAGTATAATGACCCGTAAGGACATTTTTTTAATCAACAATTTGAAACTTAAATATTTTCCAAAACTGCACAGTGGGTTGTTCAAAGGAAACAACCATTTTATAAAACAAATGCTTTTGCGATTTTTTCTCAAAACCATGTTTTTAGATTTAGGTGCTTATTCCAGCAATGGCCTCAGTTGTCAAAGTAAAATAAAGCATCCTCTGTTTACATGGTGAACAAAATTATTTCAAAACCTCATTTGTAGGACATCAAAACTGCTGTGCTAAGGAAAAACGCAATATGAACATTCAAATGTTGCCAAATTTCCCCTGATAAAAATTTATTTTGGAAGAAAGTGTAGCATATTTTTTCTCGAAAACTTCAGATACCCATTTTAGATCAAATTGCGGATTAAATTGTCTGAAAAGATGTAAGAAAAATATTTACAGCTCTCCCAATAAATTCGTATCTTATCGAAGGAAATTTGACAGCGCCTGAAGGTTCATACTGCGTTTTTCCTTAGCACGGTAGAAAAGCTCACAAACTCCAAGTTCAATTTTCTGACCGAACTCAACAAAAATCCCTTTTTGAAAATATTTCCCGAATTTCTGTGGAAGGTTGCATTTGTTTATCAATATGATTGGTTTTCTATTGTTTTCAGTAATTTCCCTCTTTACCTTATTTTTGAGCGGTAGAAATAGAGCATGCTGAGTGGGGCCCATATCGACCTAAAAGATCATAGCGTCTCTTGTTTCTTTGACCTTGATCAGCTCCTGGAATCCACTTACAATAAAATTCTACTCCCTGCTTCCATGCTTTATCCTCTGAATTACTCCTCTTCATTTCAATTTTTGATAACCCCTCTTATCAGCATCCTGTTTCTCTGCAAATCTTCCTCGGCCAATCTCTCACACCCGTATGCAATGTACCATAATTTATCCTGCCAGCAGGAAGTTTTCATTCATCTATTTGTGTCATTTGAACACACATGTACCAACTAATCAACACTACAAAGTAAATCACGTACTCAGAGATAGAGATCTACCAGCTGCCAAGTCAAGCCCCTTATAAAGCACTATTTTCACAACACTTTGTTTCCCTCTTTTTTTCTCGTTTTTCCTTTTTTTCTATTTCTTTGGTTTGTCAGTCAATCAGTTGATATTCTTCGTAAGTTAATTTTTTAAAATTTTCAACATTTTTTGAACTGTCTGGTCTAGTACTTTATTGTAAAAAAATTCATGGGCTTTGAATTACATTTAGGGGTCACTCAAGTATGTTTTAACGCTTTTTTTCGATTTTTTGACACCCCCTTCCCCCTTGCATTGCAGCCCAATGGCCTAAAATTGCACATTTTGGGCCACGTTTCGGGCTAGTTTCATGCCCATTCTCAACTGGAACAAAAGCTGCAAAATTAAATAGTAAAACCAGAAAATGAGCATGCAACTGACCGAGGTAGGAATCAGTGCAAACTCAGGTTTTTTCAATTTTTTTGCTTTATTATTTGCCTATAGTTTGTATTTTTTGCTAGATGAGTGTTCGATTTTAAAGTTCAAGGCTTCGAAAAATGTAGATCATGAGGCAGTTTTTATAGAGCCAGAATCTATTTTGGCTAAAGGAAGGAGAAATGTATAAAATTTATTATCATAGTTCACGAATGTACTTCTTTTTTTTTTACAGCTGTTTTTGGCGGTGCTGTTGTTGGACTTCTGTGCGCTATTCTGGTAGTTATGTTCATTGTTTACCGCATGCGCAAAAAAGATGAAGGATCCTACGCATTGGAAGAACCCAAACGATCGCCAACCTCGAATTCTTACACAAAAAATTCTCATAGAGAATTTTACGCTTAAACTCAAAGACATTAGCTTGATTGGCATAAAATATTACTCGGCTATTTATTAAAAGAACTGTTTTTCTGCGCATAATAATTATTCAACCTGTTACTACTTGTACACTTGTTTAAAGTTTTTCGTTGTCGCAGGCGTAGGCACGAGCGCATAACCTACGTTTTTGCGCAAGTTGTTAATAGTTAGTTTGATGGAAACCGGTTTGAATCCATGAGTAGAATGAAAGGAATTGTAATATTCGGAATATCTCTTGAAGACATCATTATTCAGTCATACTTACCAGGGGATTTGTCAGCTCACAAAGTGTTGCCCTGAAATGGTTCCCTGAGTTTTTTTTTTAAATTTTTGGGAAAGTTGAGAAAACTTCAGTTGAAAATTGATGGAAAACTTACTTGCTGAAGTTTCTCTCTCCAACTAAAATAGTTGGAACATAGTTATGGTAGCGTTGTGCTTCCCTGCAAGTATCTTTTTAAGTCAGTTTATGTCTGGGACTATTTCAGCGTAAACCTCTGTCGAGTTTGCTCCTCTTTTTGCAATTTTGTATATTAGCGTGCGCACTAGTAGATCTTAGGTTTTTTTACTCTGATTTTCTATGATACTCGAAAAAGTCCTTGAAATGATAAGTACCAACTGCTTATATATTGACGAATACTTCCTTGTATTTGTAATTAGTGGTTTGCATCAAAGATTAACTTTTTACTTTTATTGTTACTGTTTTCAGTAACCAATTTTTAGCAAACATGATTAGTGAATAAGTTTACCAAAACGTATTTGACATGTAAATCTCTCCCTTTTTTTAATTGCTTTCGATCCAACCCTGCGTAATTTCTCGCAGATCTTCATTTTACTATCTTTTGGTAAATTTGTATCTTCTCCGCCCATTTTTTTGTCTATTGTTTTAGGCCATTAGAAACTGAAAATATCTTGAATGATTATTTTCCATTGTGGATTTTATCCTGCCGTTTGTTAATTTGCCATTTTGAGATTCCCATTTTAAAATTAGATTTCAACCGTACATATCCCAGCCAAGACTATATGCGCTCCTCTTTATCCATACCAAAGTTAACAGTTTTTTTTAGCTCTTGGTAATAGAACAACTGTTCAGTTCCTTCTAGTATGGTTTCTTTGGACTTCAAAAGCATTAATAGGGAATTAAACTTGATTCGAGGAACACTGAATAGTTCTTTTTGGCCTTGTCTGATGTCACACATTCACCCAGTTTGTTTACTCAGCCATGAAGCCGTGTCCAAGTTAACTCTATCTATGAGCATTGTCAGAAAAAAATCCTTTCTCTTTTCTATCAAAATGCGTAAAATAAGCCATCTTTATAACATAAGGAAAGACTGCTCTTAGACAAAATTATTGTTGTATGCTTTATGTTTAATTTTTGACTTAGCTTGCGTTAAGCCAATAAAAAATCTGGTCATTAGTACAAACTTAAGGACTTTGTAAGTAAGTCAGTATCAAAATTCTGGAACGCAGTCGTTATCGGGCCACGTATCTTGAAAAGTAAATTTTGCAGTTTGTTTCCAGGTGCCTATTGCAAATTGTGGCATATGAACTAGTCACTCGGTCCACTCAGCTTATTCTTATTTTAACAATGCCACAATCAATGATCCTTCCAAACAAATCCTTTAATCTATTGTAATTGGTTCTAGGACTGTTACTGGCTTTTCCTCATCATTTCCCATTTTGTGCATCAAATGCTTTTGTTTTTATCAAGCCTGATTAGTATCAACATAGTATCAACATATTATCAACCAAGGATTTTCAAAGGAGAAATTGTAAACAGTAATGTACAGTTTATTAATGAAACTAGCCCCAACTTCGTAGGTGATTAATGTCTTTATACTTTAATCGTTAAGTAAGCAACCTACACGACATGATGAATGTATGTGTATGCATGTGCGCATGTCCAGTACATATAATCCAATTTATATGTATGCTCTAAACTTTGTAATTATTGTGCTATAGCCAAATAGTCTTAATTTTATCCCCTAAAGAACTTATACGAAAGATTGTATACTGTAACAATTGAGACGGAAAAATCTTGCTGTAACGACCGTAAAACGCTTTGTCTGATTCAAGACAATTCCGATATAAATTTTGAGAAACTTATCGCCATTCGCCATGATGCACTTTGATGAATGCAATCCAAGCCGTCCTGAACAGCTGAGCATAAAAAATCAAAACATGAAGTTGTGTAAAAAGAAAATCTTCATTGACGGAAATAATCAATGTTAATCGTTGGAATCATACTTTCTCCACAAATAGTTTCTATTCAGTATGAACTTAAAACCCAGAAATGTTGAACTCCTCTCTTGATCTGTTTGACAAGAGGAAGTTCTTCGAAGAATAGCAAAATTTTCACGGCTAAGGAAGCTTTAAATATCCCTCTCATTTTTTCCTTTTCAATGAATTTCATGTGCCATGCCCACTCTTAATATTACTGATTTGTCTGATTATTGCTCATTGATACTTAATCTCGTAGCTAATTACGGAAATTTAGCTAAAAAAACACACACAAATATAGAATTCAAATAGTTCTGATCATTGTCTAATTATAATTTTCAAGCTCTGTTTCTTTTTCTCGTAAATTTGAAACTGATTTGATGCTAAGAAATGTGGTTTCAAAAACACTGATTTGTTTTTCCCCATTTCCTCTAATTTGCATCTTTCTGTACTTTTAGTGTAGCTCAGTAACATCTCATATTTATCTCGGCTGTCAATAGTTTCCTTTTATGTTTTTATATTCCCTGCGGTCATTTTTGGTTTTAAACTTAAATTGCTTTCATGGATAATCGCTCTGCCATTTTTTGTGTGATACTTCTTTATTCTGATTCAAACATGAAATTTTTAACTATTAATCAAATATCTGATCAGTTGAAATTTTTTTTATGGGTGTGTTTGTTTTTGTACTGAGCTGTAAAAGAGCTTCCGTTAATTTGAAACTTATCTTCCACTTGATTTGAATCAGAGGCAATTCATCATCTTCTTCTTCTTAGACAAATCCTTCCTTTTAATTTATCTAATCAACTCGAAAAATCTTCAGAATGAACATAATCATTAATGATTTGATCTCAGTTTTCTACTTAAATAGAAATAAGATGAGAGAAATAATGCCTCCTCAGCACGTAAGAAAGGGCAAAATTTTTAATGAAGCACTACATCATTTACATATTCGTAATTGCTTGTGGTATTTTGCGTAAAAAAAAATGTGTGTTATTTTCAAAAGCTTTTCCAAAATAAGAAGTCAGTTCTTACCAAAACATAACAAAATAGGCACTGTTATCTCTCATTTAGCAAGTTTTTCATTGTAGTTTTTATTTATTTGGAGTACGATTCTTCAAATTATTATCTGAATCAATCATTGAAATGTTAGACATAATCAAAATAATTCTAAAAAAAAAAAAAATCGAGAAAAGAGTGTATTTTTTAAGTTAGAGTTTTTGGAATGTCAGTCCATTTTTGGACCCTGATCAATGTCGACGAACCATGACAAAATACACGCTCAAGAGAGTACTTTTACTCATGTTGGTATTATTCACAAACGCATAACTAATCTAAATTAAACGCTGTTCAATGAACCTAATATCTGCACATCGAATCGTGTTCCCATGTAAAGTACGAAATGAGGCTCCATCAAATCGAACAATAATCAATGTCCATATATTTTGATGTCCATCGATGTTTTGAAGCTTTCAATCAATGGTCAGCATCGCTCTTATACATTATGATAAGTTTCTTTCAATTTATGTCTGTCAGTAATTTTAACTCATTCACTTGTTTTGTTCTTCCTTTTTCTTTACCTTGTAAACCCTCAATTAATCACTGAAACTTAAATTTTAAGAGTGCAAGATCTGTTATTACTCTAACCTGAAGGAGCGAACTTAATCTTGGTGACCTCCTCCTCTTCTTGATGTACTATGTGCCGATCTTGTTAATGAAGCTAACTTAGATATTCCAGCAATATCGTCTCAAACAGTGGAAATTCAAACTGGTCTCTATTTATCCTGCCCTGATTTGTTTTGATCAAATCGTTATTTTTTATTTATTTATTTTTTTTCATTTCTTTGTTTAGTACCCAGCCTTGTTTGTACAGAGATGACATCCCCGTGATTTCCGTACTTCTTAAAATTATTTTCGTGTCCTCCAAAGGCTCTGCAATCGGTGGTTGCTCCTATTATGATATACCATATAGTGAAGCCAGTGTATTTGTTCAGCTAAGATGTTCATGAAGTGATATTTGTTTCTGAATGAGGAGAGTTTTTGTTCAACTGAAGTTCTATGTTTTTCGACTTCTAGAATTCGAAGCCTCTGGAATCAAAACCTATGAAATCTATAGGAATGTCTGCATTTTTGCTTTAAAAAAAAGCAGGCAAAAATATTTAGAATAAAGAATTTTAATCTACTTTTGCACCAAGAGGAAAATTTTGAGAAAAGTCACAATAAAACGCAGGTAGATTTATCTTCTAAAAATACGCGTGTAAGAGTATATACAGTTCTGTCCTCAGCAAGCATCTGAATGTAGCCTCTTTGTTTTTACCTCAAAACTCAATTTTTTAAATACAAAAATGTGTCATCCATTACGTGAATGTTTTGAGCCTGTTACAGCTTGATCATTTTTTTATTTAATGAATATCCCATTGCAAGAAAACCAGGGAGATTTCATCCTCCTCAGAATGTCAGTGCCATGTATGTAAAACCCATTTGGGAAAAGTTATATGAGGCTGATCATAATACCCATTCTTGTAATAGGTAATTTTGCCTGGAAAAAATGCTAAATCCAGGATGAAGTTGTGACTTTTTTCGCTTGCTACAGAAGAATTAACCCCTTCTTGTCTGCCAACTCGAGGAAATTGGTCAGTTTCAATGCCTATTAATACCTTTGGTAAAAGAAAGTTGGACGCTTCTATACTAATGCTACTTTTAGTTCTATTTTTCCTAAGCATCATAAATCAATGAAAGAGTGCCATTAAAAACGGCGGCATAGCAACTCGCCCCGAATTATTTTTGAAAATCTTTCTCTCATCTCATTTGTTGAGGAATTTCAATGTAAGTCTACTTTTCCTCAGAAGAGAACACTAATAACTGCCACTACCATGAACCTTGCTTAGCTACACTCGCAGCATTGTTTGCTTCACTATTGTCCCTGTTTAGTACTGATATTTTAGTATTAATGTTGTATAGTATTGTATTAAATAATTAATTGTTAATTGATTAGTCTCTTTTCTGTATTTCCTCTTGAGTCTTGGGCAACTTTTTCTCCCTTCCAGGGACTTTTGGTGCTTTGTAAATAGCTGTCGGGATGTGACAGCTATCCCTTTTCGGGGTGTCTCCTATTCTTTTGACAAGTGCGTTCCTCATGCGGAAAGTCTTTTCTCTTTCAAAACCAGTCAGCAGCCGGATTGTTGAAATTTATGTCGGCACGACAAGAATCGAAAATCGATATATTACACGGCGCAGATAGGGCTATGTCTTGTCTTATCGTACCGATATAGCCAGTTAAAGTTTCAACAATCCGGCTGCAGTAGTGTTAATCTAGAATTGAGACAGTTGTGTCTACACAAAGGAAGACAGTTATCTATTGATGGTTGGAAGATACAAGAACTTCTGAGGATACGACTAAGTCTTGGAATGCACCAATAAACAAGTCTTGTTCCTGATTTGATCAACGATTTGAGTGAAGGCACCCCATTGATGTTAGTTAATGACCAGACATGGGCAGCTGTTAGGTCTCTCATTAGTTTGGTGAAAATGAGAGGCAGCATAGAGGCGCAAGTAGCGAGATCTTAAATGTGAATTTCAGAAACATATATCATCCTAAAATTATGAATATCAAATTCTTGCAGTTAGGCATTTTTGTGATCATAACCACCTGCCCTTGTGCTGCTCAGTAGCGAACATCATTTGACGTATGAAATAAATTTAGCTATCCCTTTGTAAAGCAGATTTTAATGTAAGTACCAATGTAGCATTAAAGAATATTATTTTATTTATTAATTTATTTATTTTTCATAATCTTGAGTCCGCCACGAAAAAAATGGAAAATCCATCCTTTCTCAATAACCCAGTTTTTCTTATACCTCTTTTCATTTGTTTCACTAGTTCTTTGTAAATACTGATTTTCTATCCAGGATATTTCATTTTATCAGTCAAGTAATGCATTTACTTTTGTTGAATAAATACCTTATTTATAAACTGATCTTCATGGCCTTAATTGAATTCGATCCTATTTTTTTAAGCACAAGTACTGAAATACATACCTTCTGCTGATCAAATCTTCGTAAAAGAATTAAAAAATCTATGATTGACCGGAAACTTTTCAATATCCTGTAGATCATTTCATGTCTGACCTTTTGTCCTATCATCCATCCGTGGTATCTCCCTCAGCGTGCTTTGTCATTTCAATAGACTGATTTAGTGACTATGTCATTTGATATAATATTGAACTCAGGGGTTTAAACCAAAACAAATAATATAACCTCATGTACAAATTTTGTGGGCGTTAATTGTATTACTTCATCACAATGGATAGGTCATAGATCAATTAAGGACTCATTAATCATGAGAAATTTTGATTGCAAGGAAAACTTAAGACACATTTTACCACCAAAGCGCAAATCAGAGATAAGTTTGTATGTTCCTTTACAATTGACCTATAACGTAGCCACTAAATCAGTCTATTCAAGCGTAAGATACCTCATTTTATATGTTCATACTTGATTATGAGCAGCAGGAAAAATGACAGAGGAGTTTGATGAATATATAAAATTTAATGGCATTTTTTGTACAAGTACTTACAATTGAAAAAAATACAAATAACTCAATTATACATACATGAATGTACAAAGTAGGATATTTTTCCTAGATAAAAATGCTTTTAAAGTTAACAAGAACAAGAATCAGTACAAAGTGAGAAATTAAAAATCACAGGATATAACCAAGGAACAAAGTGCCTGGCTCCGGATAGTTCTCGTTTAAAGTTTCCTATCATTCCTTAAAAAAGTGAAACAAAAATAAAGCAAGAGCATAGGAAATAAAATTTATGTTTCATCATAAAAGGCATTTTAAGCTCTAATAGTAATTTAGTAAGTTCATTGCTCGATAGAAAAGGAAGATGACATGGGGACTTCTGCCAAGCCCTCCGGCAAGTAAGCCTCAAGCTTAACCTCTTGCACTCCCCAAAACAATCGTTAGCTACTGCTATTGGTGATAAAGTAAAGTAAACAGCTTCATTGTGAAAGACACTTTGATAGATAGAAAACCATGGATGAGAAGTAAGGCATGAAGAAAGAGTTAAGGCACTGGGGGATGTTGGACAGGTAGATTTTCATTACATATAAGGCGGATAAAATTCCTCTTAAAAGAAGGAAAAGGGAGTTAACATAACGTTTGGAAGGATGACAAAGTGCTTATTGATCACCAAACTGGACAATAAAATGGATGCTTAGAAATTTGACTTCAGGATTTTTAAGGAAGTTTCCGGCTGAATATTTAATGCACACTTTCCGCCACTATTATCAAATCCATCATTCCTATAATATGTGCACGAAAGGGGATCAAGTACTTCCTACAGGTTTCATACCAAAGAAATTTGACTGACTTACAGCTAGAGACCCTGGATTGTCATTCTTTACTTTACTAACTATGTGAAAATAGAAGAAGCAGATCTTTAACCACATTCAACCCGTCAGTCGACTAATTTAGGATGAATACAAGTTGAATGAATACAATGTAAGTCGATTAGATGCGGTCTGCAAAGAAAATTTAATTTTAATGTATAGTCTCTTAGTTTTTAGTAGTCTCTTAGAAAGAGGGAATCATTCTGCTTGGTGACAACCAATTCTAGTTCATAAAATTCAAACGATTTCTCGAAATGACAAACCAGAAACTTCCCTATCCTGAAGGGAAATACAGAACCCCTCATGAAAAATATAGGAGCTAGAAATGCAAGCTAATCAATTGAATTAGGTATAGGGATCAAAGTTTCCGGGGGACATTCTTAGAGACGTTTTGGGGAAAACTTCCATTCCCAAGGAAGAAAATTTTCTACTTTAGTCTCTACTTGTGGCACACACACAAAAAAAAGCTTTCCCTATGTGTGCTTGTGAATCCGCAACACTGGTCGTTTACGGTGCATGGCAGCATGAGTAAGCGTTTAGTGCTGTCCTATGAAAAAGGTGTAAAATAGTCGCCGGTGCTATCTAATTGAAAGGCGACGACGCACAGAAAAAATGAAGGAGGTGACGAGCAGAGAAATGAACATTCCTACATTACAGGAAGCTGCCCTCGAGGATCGTTGCAAATTTGGGTCCATTACAAGATAGAGTCAGTCTTTGATTAGCCACATTTTCATTGGCAGATATACATTCCTAAGACGTTAACAGACACAAGATAGCTACTCATCTATCACCTTCTACATTTTTGCTATGCTGCCAACTAATCTGATAGAATTGCTAAAAGTTACGGATAGAGATTCAGAAACTTGCTGAGACAATAACGATGGAAGGAGAAGAGATTAACAATTCAGAATGGCACAAACTAGGATTCATTGAAATATGCTTATTTATCGCACATTTCATGCTTGTGATACAACCTTGTTGCCTCTTGCGTTACTTAAACTACTACTTAGACTCCTCACACAACTCTACAGGAAAAACAGCACCAGTTACATTACAGTTAGAAATCAGTTTGAGAACAAAATGAATCTTTGGAAGTTTTTTCATGGCTAAATGCTGGAACTAATCCAGGAGGATGAAAAATCTTTGTTAAAATCACTGAAATGATGCCCATAAAACAAAAGTGACTTCTGTCCCTCTATTAAGGATAACGTTTGGGACTGGAGGAAACTTAGTCTTTTTTTTCAGAGGCAACTGCTGAGTACGGCAAGGTAGTAAATATTTAAAACGCAGAACAGTTAAAGTTAGGGGAAAACACCAACAAAAATAAATCGCTTACTTCGACCAGTATCAAAAGAATTCTTTTTCCAGCAGAGCTGTGAAATTACACAGTTATTTATCATCTGATTTCAGCGATTCATTTTTCAAGATTGAGAGATCAAACACGATGCATCAAGTGCTTTCGGTTTACCTCTAATTTAGCATGGTGAAACAATCAGCCTGTACAGAAAACAACATCTATCAGCCAAACTGGCGGCATGATGAAAATAAGTAGAAAATTTCGCTTTAAGAGCACCTTGTGTTCAAACCTAATAAACATGTATACACGAATAGTGAACAGTAAAACAAACTGAAGTATGGCATTTTTTAACATTTATGAGCATTCATCACACTGATGTAGCGTTTTAAGGCACATATTGCGTTTTAAAGCACCAAATTGATGTGAGCCAGTGAAAAAAGTTAACGATGAGTTATTTTTAATATATGATACGAATGAGTAAAGCTCTTGATCACAATAATGATAAGTTGCGGCGGGATTGATATCAAGAAGCAATTTGGTTACGTGGTTGCATCCTTCATTTTTTGGTGATCATAATGCAAGCAATCATTAAACATTTCATTAGAAAGCCGTTTACATATTCCTGACTCATTCAGAATGGGTGAAAGAATTGTGGCAGGGTATACTCTCTGATTCAGTTTCGAGCTATCGAAATCGTGAAAATTGTGTTAAGAGTGTAGAGCAATTGAGGACCCTGCACTAATGGCGGCCCATACACATATAGGTCATTATCACTCCCATTAGCTTTTCGGATTCTCAATACCCTGAACTATACCGTGGTATAGGTAGAACATAGTTAGGTAACGGCTGGAGGTCAAAAACCCTTTTTTCCCCCGAGTTAAGTCAGGCTTCTGGAGCAATGAGTGGAATAACAGCTTATACGAGTGAGGGCCTTCGATGCGTTTATCAACTCGCTAATATTTTTTTCGGTTTGCCAATATTGCTGATAGTGACTGCTCATTCGTATTGCATTGATTTTGCACGATTATAATGATTTTTAATTCACAACTTCAACGAAAATTATTGTATGCAATAACAGCCTATAAACTGCTTTTATATGTGCGGGGACCTTCTATGCGCCCATCAACTCGGTAACAATGTTTTCGGTTTGCGAGTATCGCAGATCGTCACTGCTTATTCATTTTGCATTAATTTTGCGCAATTATGATCTTTTTTACTTACGAAGTTCAACGAAGATTGTTGAGGATTACAGCCTAACTAATTTATAAAATCAAGGATATTTCCACGAAAACCGAAAATGTATTGCAATATCAACCTGGCATCCTTCAATAGAAGGGTTGGGTCATCCAAAAAAACAAAAATAGGGTACCTGCTAAGCTTAGTTTGCGTAGTACATCATATACAAAACTTGAAATGTGTTATTCTCACAACCAGGGGGTCCTCAATTGCACATAGAGAAAACAGATTTTGAATCAACAGACCATCCACACTATCGGAACAAATACTTTCTTAACTTCTCATTAAACGCTACGTATGTAAATATTTCAGAGATGCCTTGCTTTTTAGGTTATGACCACTGCAGAAAGTAAAAACAAATGAGAGAATACATCACTAGGAGACAAAATTACATTAGTTTGAGCAATTGTCCGGGCCGCACAATTTCCTTCTCGACATCTGTGGAATAACTTATTTACAATGATTCAGAATTTATGAGAGGATTCAACTAATCACGGAAAAGCGCGAATCTTATCCAATTGGCTTCCTCAAAGGCTTGTTTCCATCAAGATAAACACAGATCAACAATAATAAAACTAACAAATACATAGAACAACATTTTAAAATTGGCATCGATGGTCCATCAGAGGTCTCGAGGAAAACCTTCCGAAGGCTCTGTTCATTTCATTATGAACAAAAAATTTGGAAACGTACGAATTGAATTTGCACTCATCAGCTACCCCCATCATTAAGGCGCTGAGAACTGATATGATGCAGCATTTTTTAAACAAGTATCAGTGTTATCAGAGATTGATGGACGTAATTGAAGTAACTCTATGAAAGGAGGCAAAAAACACAAAAGATGGCTCCCTACTGAGAAAAGATAATGGTTTACAGAACTAGAAATTCTTATTTAATTTTGTGTCTAGACTTTTTGGATGACTATCCACCCAGCAACTGCCAAAAATAACATTTCAGTAAGTTGCAGAAATGTTAATTATGGCTGTGTCATTGTGACCTTTCTGCAATCACTTATTGCAGGGCCAGAACTAGAATTTTGGCACAACCAGTATTCTGATTAAATCAACTGTATTTGTGGTAGATTGATGATAATTCTGCGACAATTTGTGGAACAGGACTAAAATTTCGGGTTCTGCAAACTTGTTTTCATTACCATATAAGCATGCTCTTTAGGCATATTAGGCTTTTGTGTCTTTTCGCTGATCATAAAAGTATCAGGACTCGAAAAATTCAAAGATGAGAAATCTGCCTTCAAGGCATAATTTGTTGCAATATGTGAAAATCTCAGGCCACTACTTTACAAAATTTTAATTTCAACTTTCAGAGAGAGTACTTTTGAAACTTTCATCAAATGTGGGGGTTGCTTTTCTGGCAATTATCAAAAGGAGTGAAAATTTTGTGACAGGTGAAGAAAATCAGCTTCAACATTTTGAATCTACAATCGTCTTGGAACTCTTTTAATGATTGCAACAGAATAAGCACTCAAGAGGTGGGTGCTGTGATACCAGAACATCGTTTAAGTATATCATAGAATTTAAACCCTCAATTTTTCCCTGCTTGGTGAGGTTTATAGTCTTCTATGATTTGACTGGAAACACAGAGTGTAAAAACTGGGATTTGGCTTCAGACCGAAGCGGCTTGTTTGAACAACCTTCATGGGTTACCAGACCTATTATGTTTAAACTTCAACTCCAAGAGTCCTGTCGACCGTGTACTCGTATCTTCGTGGTTGTTCAGGCTCCGTAGAAGCATCAGCTTTCGAAGTTGATGGTGCTGGAGAGCTTGAAGGCGCAGGTGGAAGATCTGTGCAAGATTTGGGCGAGGATGGAATGGGCTCTTCTCTTGAGGGCAGAACAGGAACGGATAAGTTTGCACACGTGAAGAAAGCCATCTTCTCCCTAAAAACAATTGAGATCATAAAATTAGAACTCTCTGGAAAAAAATACTTGCATAGTGGCTCAAAGTATGAACTGTTGGTTTTTAGTTCTATACCATAGGCCAACACAATAAAATTGTAAAAAAGCCATAACTACTCCCGTTCCTAATCTCATACTAGGTGCTAGCTGCAGCGTTTCCATGATTTCTTCATTCTCAAACTATCTGACTTCCTGGTTTTCCTCTGATTACAATAATGCTGCACTCCAAAATTTTCTGAATTTTTTCCTTTTTTTTCTTTCTTTTCATTAGGATTTTTGACTTCCCCTACATTTTGGGTCACATAATCTACTGAAATTGTGTGAATTTCAAACACGAGAGGATTTTAGGATTCAGATTTAGGCTCGAGTACAGTACTTCCTCTCAATAACAAATCGGGGACCGCCTGAAAAATTTAATGCCGTCAAGAAATTTTTGTTACTACAAGTGGTGTTGTGAATAATACTGCAAGTTCCAAGGACCAGCCGATGGGGTTGTTGCATGGGTGAGGGATTTGAGAATAAAACATATGTAGCCAGCCGGAGAACTTTTGGCGACAAAAACGATGGAAAGTTATTTAATCAAATTCAAGTTGGAAATAAACAATTTTCATTGGCTGCCGTGCAGTTGGTCAAACTACCCGTCACACCGCATGGGAGTCTCTCCTCGCCGCTATTACCCACATCTTGACCGCATGTTTATCTAGTGTAGGTTAGGTTAGGTTGAGTTCATTTCGAGCTCTGATTGGCTATAATGATGAGCGGACGCTGCTGGAAGAACCCGAGCAATGCCGGTTGCTGCACACCACCCTCCGCCAAACGGCTCCTTCCTTCCGTGAAGAAAACGGGAAAGGAGTGGTTTTGAACTCACTTTTCCACTCAGTTTCCATTGAAAAGAGCCAAAAACTGAGACTGAAAATGATTCACCTTATCTTCAGTTATTCATCAAGATAAAAATACCTTAACAATCAGTACACTTCCAATTGGTAGAAACCGAATTTAAAAAAATCATGCAACAATCCCATTCCTTCACTTTAGGGAATTTTTATTCACAACTGTTGTCATTATGGAGAGAGTATTGAATTTGTCTTAGAATCTTCCAACAGGATTTGACGTCATCAGGGCTGAGTCGGTAGAAAATATCAGAAATCTAACAAGGATACTCACTTGAATGAAATTAAATCTGGTTTGCCTTTGCCTGCTTTGCTCTTTCGAAGTTTATAGATTTCCCTTGATGTTTTCTTAAGTAGTTTGTCTACTTTACTGTCATCAGCAGTTTTACCAGCAGCCTGAAAAAAAAAAGGTTAGATAGTGAGCACTCGGTCGCTTGAAAAAGTCAGCATTAGAAATTTCATTTTACTGGAATGAATAAAAACGGATGTGTGTAATGAAATTTGCATAAATTTGTTTGACGTTACAGAGGGAATATGTTACAAAAAAATTGACACTTCTGTTACTTTTCCATTACTAAAGAATGAGTAGTTTCAAATTTTCTGTGTGCCTCTACAGGACAGAAGGTGTGGTATTCAGTATCAGAACCAAGCAGGTAGTCAAACCTTGAAATTTCCACTTAGTTATTGAATGTCAAAATTCTCTTAACTATGAAGGGTTTTCTCCTTTTGTTTCTTAGGAATGATCATGATTTCTTCCACAAAAAAATTACACCCGATGTTTCTCCAAAAACCATATTCACAATAGAACCAGACAAAGAACAAGACTACATACCTGAGCAACAAGATTTTGGAATTGAGTGTCTTCAAGAACCCACGCAGCGATTTCCAAATCATTCCTTTCCTTAGCAGTTTCCAACTTGGTTTTCAAGTCGCGAAGTCTCTGCAGCTCATCTTGCAGTGTTTGCAGTCTTGTGTGTTGCGCTCGCAAGTCTAGTTCCAGATCAACGCTAGTCCTCGGACCAGAGTGACTTGGCCGAGACCTCATCGAACTTGAGGTGAGGCTTTTCCCCCAGCGGAGTGATCGCCTTTCGACTGAGTTGCGCTTGAAAGGTCCTACGTTACTACAGAACCCGATGCTATAACATCTCCTATACAATGGCATTGATGAGTCACTGTCACTTCTATTAAGCTGCAAACAGAAACAGAGGAAAAAACCGACATTATTAATATATTAAAATTCGAGATGCAATGATTATTTTACCTTCTGATGATGTATTATTTATTATGCATTTGAATTAGATCGTTAGGGGAACTCTGATCAATAAGTAATTATATCAATTACAAAATATTTTATTCAAGTCATGCAAAAAGGCACAAATCCAAACACTCATAAGCCACGGCTCTCGTCATTGACAAATTGTAGCACAGATCATGGGTCTTCGAATTTCTACCTTTTTTGCAAGTCAAAATATTCAATTAAATTTTGCATTCGTCATGCAAAAAAGGCGGAAATCTAAATACGCATGCCCATGAGCCATGCAAAACATTTTAAACAATCAGAGCCAGGGTTGATGAGTTTGTGGACGCCCTTTTTGCATGACTCGATTCATTTGCAACAACAGGATACCACCCGAACATGGCATTGTAAGATATTTTTTTACTTGGTCAAGATGATTTAGTTTCAAGTAACCAACAAATAAAATCTCTTTAAATCAATTCAAACTGATTGTTCCTTTGGTCGGTTGTGCTACTCAAAATGAATTCGGCTATCCCAATGAAAAAAATTTGATGCTGTTTAAGAGAAATTTGTTGCCGTTGGATATTGGTGTGTGGCATCAACGATACTTTCTTGAAGTTCCAGTAGTATTGTGTGACAAACAGAAAAGGGGATTCTGCCATTGGGTTGTGCCCAAAGTTAAATGTTATGTTCAAAAGTTTGTGAGAAAATTTCAACGCTATGAATTTTACTAAATATAATTTAGTCAAGAGGTTTAAATTTTAATTAGGAGGAAAAAGAAATAAATAGTGCCTTACCCTACAAATGTATTGATTTTTAGCCACAGGCGAAAACGTCTGTGATCTTTTGATGACGATGGCTGGTGATAGCTTCTTGTTCTGTGCAGAGCCACCTTTTTCTGGGACAAAACAACATTCAGTGTTTGTTTCTTTGTCTTCTGTATCTATGCTTTCCTCCTCCTATTTAGAAAGAAAAATATTGGTATGACATTATTGATGACTTGGTGTTAATTTACTGATATTATGGGCATGAAAGCTCTGACACTTCTTACTTTTTCATTGAGTACTCAGATACAAGGTTTCAAGTAGGGCTGTGCGAAAATTCGAAAATTTCGAATATTCAAGTTCAAATAATTTTTCTAATATTCAATTCAAACTCGAACTTAGAAACCTCGAATAATCGAATTATTCGACCACATTGAGCAATTTCCGATCTCAAAAAAAAGGACCGAATATTCGTACATCTGGCCATATTGGTGACATACTAGTGGGAACTCAGCAGTTCAAACTACTTGTTTTGAGGTTAGGTAAAAGGCCAACATTTCATTGGATCCTCAAGCGCACGGCACTCACTCTAGACGGGTCAATTCATAATTTGCGCCACTTGAGTTCCACCAAATACGTCATCAACATGATCTACAAATGGGCGAATGTACTAACCTCCATCACCTATTCTCCTCTGCCTCGCGCAGTACCCCAATCTTTACAATGTTGCAAGACTGTCTTTGCAAGATCAGCATTGATGTGAAGTAAAACTGAATGAAATGGATTTTCGGACAGTAAGCCGCAGTTTTACAGGTCCGCAACAGTTCAATTAATTGCTCGTCCTCAATTAAAGGAAACAATTTTCTCTTCCTTCTTTTCTTTCCCAAGCAAACCAAAATGTATGCAAAACCATTTCATAATTAAATGAATTGATGGATTCTTGATCTTTTTATCTATAATAGTAATTTTGTCATTAAAAATTTGAAGGTTGGAGAGAACAAAATTTTTTATTTGATTTTTACTTTGACCAACACAGAGGTTCATTTTGGTTAAAAATAGGTAAAAACTAAAAATATTTTATTCAAAATCAAAACTTTTTCAAAATATTCGATTTGATTCGACATTAAAAAAACCATATACGCACAGCCCTAGTTTCAAGGACTAGATTAGCCACATTTGAGGCAAATTTGAGGGTGCCTCTACAAAATTTCAGCCCCCTCCACCTTGGGGCAATGCTTCAATTGTTCCAGAATTTAACAAAAGCAATTTCCAAAACGGTTTGAATGTAATTTCGAATATATTTTTTTATAATCGATTCGAACATGAAACCCTAAATTTTTGAATATTTTAACATTTCTGTAACTTAGCACACACTCATCAAATCTGATTTTCTTCCTAATTTTTCAATTTTTGAGATTGCTCGTTTTTGTTGATCTCATTTTTTATTTCCATTAATAAATTATTATTTTAAAATTTATGTTAGTAATTCTGTATTTTTTCTATCTGCAGCAAATCAAAATTCGTACAAAAACGTTACCCATTTAAATATCAAATGAATTTATTTATTTCTGATTCTGTAATCTTCAAAAATGAAAGTAAATACTATATTTTCTACTTAAACTTAATTATTTATTGTGATTTTGTCTATGAGCTATACTAAATAGTTTGTAAAAAAAAAAAAAAAAAAAAAAAAAAAAAAAATTCTGTGCCCAAATTTAAATAAAATGTGTGAAACCACAAGATAAAACGTAGAGAGAAATTATTTACTATATTCATTAAAACAACATCAACAATTTATGCTTTGAGTTGAATGACAAATAGGTGTTTTTGATCAGTAATGTGTAGGTAAAAATATTCAATTTGAATCGATTCAATATTCGAACTTCTTTTATTTAATTCGATTCGATTTGAGGCCAAAAAACCATATTTGCCCAGCCCTTATGCAAAAAAGGGGGGAAAACTGACTGTAAATATGTTCCAAGAGAAAGAGCTCCCAGAGTTTTTAGGTTTCCTTTTTTGAAATAAAAAAAAAAATTATCTGGAATTCAACAGTTGTTATTGAAGCTGGCTCTAAGTGGGAATTGGCGTTGTTCCGAAAAAGCAAAAATTTAATAAGACAGAGAAAAATCGAGCAAGAGGAAAAAATTCTCTCTTTTTCATAAATTTCATTGGGAAAATTAAAATTGTCTTTGTCAAGTGGTTATGTTGACCCTCTATTGTCACCGAATAGTAAATTTGGACAAATTTTAGAGCGGAACTGCTCTGAGCTCCATGGATAATTAACGAGATAAAATGCAAAATTATCAGTCTTGCATTGCAGATTTGCTAATTTTTAAAATCTGCACACTTTCGATGGGCATCTTAAAAAAAACGCATGAGCATCCTGAAATCATTAAATGAACTTAATTTTACAAGCCTCATTAAATGAGAGCAGAGAAGAGGATATATCCTCCTTGTAGTTATGAATTTCTCCGCTTAAGCTCAACTTACCGCTATCTCTAAGACTTGGCCAAGACCGTTTTCGTCCTGGACACAGAAAACTTGAATACCATGCTCACTACAATCGCTATCATCATCATCATCGTGACCTGGATTGTTTCCTTCTTCACCATCGTCTGAACTGTCGTAATCGTCTTCGTCTTCACTCCTCAGTTCATCTAACCTCAGCATCACACCATCTTCTTCTCCGTAACCTACCAACACAAAAATTATTAGATCATCACAAAAAAGAGGGATCTACTCATCAATAATAATATTCTGAATTTTATGGTAGATACCTGGTGCTATTTGTATAAGAATCTAGATAAGACTGAATGGGAGGGATTTTGGAATGAGATACATTTCACTTAACCTTAACTCAATTATCCTTTATCAGTGTGATAGGTGTTGGTCAGTGAGCAAAGATTAGTCTGTGAGGTAAAAAACTTCATAGTTTTAAGGTGTGTTGACAGGATGTCTACTAAAACAGGCTAGCTGAAAATCAGTACTTTTACGGTACATTTCCAAGAAATTTAGTACCTCCTCAACAGAAAAACTCTGTACTTTTTCAGCACCTTCATTTGACGAAATTCGGAAAATTTCGAAAATTTGTAAGTCTTGCTCAAATTGCGATAAAAATGACGAACATACACGATTTCATTGGTGACCTGAAGATGACCCGACTGCACAATCCCGATCTTGCAGGCAAATACTACTCTAGGAATCAACGTGCAGGGCATTAAATACTTACCAAGCTTCATTAAAAAACACACGAGGTACGAAGAAAAAATTCTGGACCTTCTTGCAGAATATTCACACTTTTTCAGTACTTCAAGACTGCCCTTAAAAAAGCAGTACTATTTGTGGACTTTCCGGAAATTCTGGACTAGGAGACACCCGTATGAAAATGTCTGCTCAAGCCAAAATGTTGGCACTGCTCTCAAGGAAGAGGAACAGAGAAAAGCAAAAAAAGTTGACTGTTGCAGGTGTTGACGTAGAGCCTAATACAAAAATTACCGTGCTTATTTACAAACGTAAGAGACATTACCTTGGTTTCTGGTCAGAGTGGAAGTTTGAGAAGAAATGATGGTTGAATCGTCTGAGCTTTCTTCTTTGTTCGATGACATCACTTGTGAAGAACGCCCTCCACCGTGTAAAAATTTAAAACCTAGGATATTGTACCATTTTAAAGATGTTGTTTTTGGGCTGAAGTCAGCTAGACTTACTTGAGCACAACCCTGTGGACAAAAATAACTAGATTGGAGAGATGGAAATGCGGATACGGACCCAATATTGTGAAACCGAGAATGGTAGGCCTTGAAGGAGAATTTCAGCTTTGCGATGAGGAACTGAAGCATTCATGATGATTAATCCAAAGATATAGGAAAGAGGGGATAGCTATCGACATCTAGTGGAAAGGCATGGGAGCTAAGAGTCTGAGGATTTTCCAAAAAATTTAGCATGGTAATATTTAAAATTTTCAGTCATTTTCTGACATTGACCTTACGTAGAAAACGATACAGTTGCATCTCCATGACAACCAAATCACTCAGTTATTCATTAACTTCAGCTTTACTTTCTCACTCAGATTCTCTCTGCGTTCCAGCAATAAATTGTGTAATTGTTTGTTCCTAAATAATATTTATCAATGTTATCTATATAGATCTTTTATTGTTTACTCGACTCATCAGATACCGTTAGAACATTTTAACTAAAAAGACAAATCGAGACCAGTAGAAATTTGTATAAATGGACAGCCTGGAATAAAAATAAGAGAGGTACCCAGACATTCAATTGATACAACAGTTTATACACACAAGTTGTTTAGTTGTTAAATTGCATAATAATATGGCAATATCATGCTCTTGACATGACAGACTAGAATTTTCAAAGTTTCCCTTTTAAAGAATGTCTTAGGAACAACAAACTTTATATAAACAAAGCTTTGGTTTAGTTTGATATTTAAGAGCGGTTTCTGTTCCAAAATTTTACAAAATACTCTACGCTTTAGTATCAATTGCCTGATATACCTTTCTTGACAATGATGTCTCTCATCGGACTAAGGAGTCTTTAGGGCTGTGCGAGTACTCGAATTTCGAGTCGAGTCGAGTCGAGCCGAGTTTCGAGTACTCGACTCGGCTCGAAAGTTAGGTTAGGTTCGAGCGAGTACTCGAATTCGGCTCGAGTGTCAACAACACGAGTTTTTTCGAGTATTTCGAGTTTTTTTGAGCCGGAAACGCCGCCAAATATTTCAATCATACTTAAACTATTATTAGTTTTGCCATCATTTTACGATTGAATAACATCAGAGTCTCGTCGGCAAATTTCTACCATCCGCAGCGCCAACACGCTACCGCCCGGCGATTTCCTGCCGCCCGCGCGCGGTTTGTAACTACACGGAGTCATATGAGCGCATTTATACGTGCGACAAATTTCAACCTGCGGCGACGACCGCCGCTTGGAAAACTGAAAGTGAGCACGTGTTTTGGACCTATTGCGCTCCAGAAAAACGGTGTCGCGGCGGCAGAAAAAAGGTGCTGCGGCTACAAAAATATGGATCGCGCGATTCCAAAAAAATGTCGCGGCGACACGGCGACACGAATTGCGAGCATAAATGGGCTCTGAAGCCTTCACTTGTGCCACCCGAAGTTCCTTTGATGTACGCCGCTTCTTCCCAAGTTTGGTCCTCTTTTCAAAGTAAACCGCGGGAAGTTATTTTAACGCGTTACTGCCGAACATTTTGTAATTTTAGTGTAAATCCTTCCTAGTGTGTCATCGTCAATAATTATTAATATCATATTATGAGTTTTGTTTGGAATTATTTGTTGTAGAAAATAGATTAAATCACGTTTTAAAACTCGAAATTACTCGAACTCGACTCGAGCTCGACTCGGCTTGAGGGTCATTTTCAAAGCTCGAAAAAGCTCGAACTCGGCTCGACTTAGTGAAAAAATACTCGAACTCGGCTTGAATCCAAAAAACCAGGCTCGCACAGCCCTACTAAAGACCAAGGACTAAGATCTTTTTTCCGAAACTAAAAATCGAAAAATCGGTCGAATTTAAAATTCGAAGAAAAACCTACTTGAAAGTAAACAGAAACAGTCTTCTTGTCTAATTATAGCAAGTAAGTGCTTCTTTACTCCTATAAATGACTCTCTAAAGTTTACGTCTAAGTTGACAATTTTCCTAATTACCCTCTTGAAAAACTCGGTAAAGTTTGATCAAGCATCAATGAAACCACATACGAAGAGACTAGACAAAAGAAGAGCACTCAAAAGAGGAACTGAACTTACCAAACATTCAACTTGCTTGTCCGGTGAGAGTGACCAGACATTGACTTGTAATGTTTTTGTGCATAATTTGTTCATTGCTACAGAAAGGGGGAAGTTCTCACCAAACCTGGGCCGCGTCAAATCTGATATGGGTTTTGTACAACAAGTTAATGTTGCGCTGCCTCCTGTTGGTAGAAGAGCTGCTTTCACATACCTGCAGAAGAGACGATTTAAAATCATACAAAACTTTCTAAAAAACCAGTATTGCATTATGAAAAATTAATGGTTGATCACAAGTGACTTGAGAAAATAGGAGTGACAGTTTGAATCATGGGTTGCATGGTCGCCCTTACAGGAAGTCTCCTGGCTGGCTGACAGTTCCTATTTTTTCCGACATTTGGCAGGAGTTGACATTTTGGGCCATTAAGGAACTTAAGTTTCTGTGGATTGCTAAATTACTCAAATTATTTTCCATGAAATTGAAAAATGGCGGAAGTTAGGGCAGTAATGGAAGGACATGAATGACAGCAACTAACTCTACAATTTACCGTATCAATGTAACTGGGGGAGGGGCGGTTAGGGTCTAGTAAGTTTTCCCAAAAAATGTCATCTTTCATTGTTTTCAAGAATTCTTTACCTCTGAATCCTTGGGATACCTCCCAATAATAATTCTTGACTATCGACCCTCCTCCCCCTCTCCATGAGAAATGTTTGGTTACCTAACTGATTTTAGAGATTCTCATATTAAATTAATGACTGAAATAGATACATAATTTTTCTTAATATTCACGCAGATAAGTCCATTATATTAGAAGCCATTAAAGCAAGGCAACAGCTTTAACATTATATACAGCCTTCTTGTTTTTTAAGCGGTAATTAAATGAACACTTACACTTGACAGTTCTCAGGAACGAGGAGTGCATTCAAATTCCTTGCTCTTTCAATTCCGACATGTAAAAGACTGTCTGCAGCGGAATACCTGAAATTACAGACACATCAAGGTTAAATACTTTAATGAATCGTAGGTAAAAGGGGTGCCCCAAGGAATTTTCTTTCCATTTCAAATTAAAACATACCACAAGAGGCTTGTTGCAAAAACCTGCAGCTGATTTTCTTCAACCAATACATGAAACAGAAACAAATTTTGAACTGTTTCTGAAGGTTTTTAAACTTTTAAGGTCCCTCCAGATCTACTTTAAAATTTTCTATATTTTTGCCGGACATTGGAGATTTTCCATTTTGTTAAGGGACACCTATAGTTCTCAGAATTTTCTAGGTTTTGACTATTTTGTAACCCTGGTCAAATAAAAAATAAATTGGTAAACTGAAGAAAGAACTTTTGAAATAATCACTAAAGAAACTAACCTGAGTTTTATCTGAATTTGTGGGGTTTCTAAGTTGATGTCTGAATGAGTTGTATGACTTTTGTTAGACGCTTCGAACACACCAGAATCCCCTGCAACGGATTCGTCAGACACCGAACGCGGAGTTTCTGAGATTGGTGACAGAGGCGGTGAAGGCGGCCGTCCCAAGCCGGATCCTTGTGAACTATTCCCTGACCGAGAGAGGAGATCGGAGAGGGGTACACTGCTAGGGGGAGCTTCGTACAAAGGCGGGGGAGGTATCTGAGATAAAGCTATGGAACTAGACGAAGACGAATTTTCGTTCTTCAACAGTCTTTCTACTCGTCTTTGCAAATCGATCATATCGACAGGCCTGTCTGTTGAGGACGTGCACTGTGGTCCACCGTAAATGTCTGTGAAACTTAATGAGCTACTCAGAGAACCTTTACTACTAGTTGTTGAGAGTGAGCCTAAACTGGAACTTGAACTAACAGAGAGAGTTGAGGCTGAAAGTGTTTTTAGTTGAGATTCTAGTAAAGTCATTGCTTTTAGCGCTTCGCTTAGGTTTTGCAGTAGCAACTGCTTTTCTTCATGCAAACGTAATCTGAAACAAATAAGATAAGAGATAGTACCACAAAGAATGAGAGACTGCAGAATATGCTTAGGATATTTCTTTCAAACAATTCTGTAAACATTCGTGTAAAATCTGATTTTTCATCTGAGCTCTTATTGCGATGCTCTAATGAAAACTTTGCCCTTTTTTAATGAGACCCTTTTCATCGTTGATAACTAAAAATTGATAGCCAAAGTGCAAGACAATGATGTCATTGCTATGTTTCAAAATTTCCACTCCCATTTTGTTTCATCCAAAAGAAACTAGCCATTTTTTCACCTAGAAAACTACACAATGGATTCTGCTACCAGAGACAGGAATCACGCAAGTTTTTCAACAAATTATGTTCACTCATTTTCCAAAGGGGAAAAAATATGACAGGAAGTCTACAACGTTGGAAACCGAGACACATGATTTTGCATTTTGACCATAAAATAATGACTTTGTTGCTAAATGATGTAAAATATTACATCAAATTGATTTTTTTTTATAAAATTGCTGAACTCCAGCAACCCTTAAAACTAAAAATGTTCCTGAACTTCAGTTCAGGAAATAATTTGCATTAAATCGGTGTAATCGATAATAAGGCAAAAAGTTAAATGCAGCTTCTAAATCTGGTAAAAATGGATACTGACCTGTCTGCGATGGCTCTATTGGACATTTCTAGAGCTGTGTTCAGATCTTGTTCCAATCTCTTGATTTCAACTTGGATTTCACTCATTTCCTTATTGCTACGAGTTCTTGGAGTAATACTTCGCAATTCACGCAGTAACTGCTCCTTTTCTTGGAATAACAGTAACCTGAAAAAGATTGCAACAGAATAAGTTTTTTCATACAAAAAAAAATAAGATCCTGAAATTATTAAATGAAAATCTATCTCCATCATACAAAAAGGCTGTTTGAAACCTGACTCATCAGAGATGTTTTCCTGAATTAATAATTAAGCTCGGATAGTTTATTTACAATCCATGTTGGGATTTGCATTGAAGACTCTAACTTTAAGCAACTGACCTCATTAATACTCTAATTTGAGACTTGAAAATTTGAGAAGACGATAAGCGATAAAAATGTTGGATTTCTGGAGTTTTCTTGCGGAAGTTTGGCTTTGATTTGGTGATTAAGTAATTTTTTAACACAAATATTTTTAATTAACAGGAAGTTTGTGTGCTTCGTTCAGCAGCCCGATTATAAGGAGACTTTGCCATCATAATAAGACCAGACATAGCCCCATCTTAACTAGGCAATGTAGCAAATTTTGATGTCTTCTCAGATTGCTTAAAAATATCAAAAATTGGCCTGCAGGTGCACAAAATTAAATATGAACCATTTAAATTAACACGCAAGAAAATAAAACAAACGCTGGCAGCTGTAATATTCAAAGAATTGAGAAATTCCACAGGTTAATTTACAAAACAAGAAATTCTGGGTTCATGTGCACAGAGCAAAGCGAAATTTGCGAAATTTCATGCATTTCTCAGAAGTGTAATAAGGATTTCTAACTGAATATTCAAGGGATTTTCAAGACTGTCAGAAATCTTCTGTAGCATTGCAGTAACTTTTCCTGAAGAAAGCTTACACTTAATATAATACTGAAATCTAGGAGGTTACTAGAAAAGTTTGTTTCACAGAATTAGGCCTTACATATGAAGACCTAAGACTTCCGAGTAATATTCTAGAACCTCTTCATAGATCAAACAACTTGAAGGATTTAGAAGGAAACTATAATCGTACCTATCTTTGTCTGATTCGGCTTGACCTGGGGTTACTTTCTCCTCGAGATCAGCCAATTGCTGCTGAATCTGTTGGATTTTCTTCCTTGCTTCATCATATTCCAGCCTCATGCGCGCCATTTCAGCCAAACGCGTTCCCATAGGCATCAATTCTCCTGACAGATCTGTTTGAGAAGCAGTCGAGAGTTTGTCCAGGGGGAGTGAAAGCGTGGATATGTCTGGGGAGGAGTCACTGCACAGCTGAAGTCGCGTTAGATCATCTTTCAGTTTAGCGAGAGACTGCATCAATGACATGCGCTCCTTCTCTCCAGATGATAAAGATCTTTGAATTTCGTGCAATTCCGCTATAATCGCTTGAGCTTCAGCAATATTGTAGCAACCTGGAAAGAGAGAATAGCATTTCAACAAAGAATTCTAGGCCTCCTGATTGTTAGTAAGTATTTACGTAGTCGATACAAACAAAAAACTCAAGATCATGAGGAAATTTGTCTAACTTTTGATTAGATTCTTCAAAGACATTGCTGGTGCATTAAATTCCTGCAAAACTACTTTCTAAACCCCAATAGAGTGATAAAATCTAGCCCTTAAACAGCAAAGCTCTCTTCTTCAATTCACAATATGGAAATACTTTATATGTGTTAATGCATTAAGTTAGGGTTTGTTTGCTTCTAAACGTTTCCTTTGGACAATCTGCTAGTCAGGAGACTTATTCATTGATAAAGTTGAGCTAAAAAAGTTTTTTTTTATAAATTTTAAAATAAAAGAGGGAGTTACTTTTACTTTCAAGCTATGAGCCGCCCATCATATCTTTCCTGGAACAAAAACTTCCAAGGACGTACAAGTACTTTAATGGATAATTCGTAATGCAAATTATTCTAAGCTGAAATTAGTGTCTACAGCTACTTAAAAATCCAGCTTTCCTCAGAGGGTTCTTGGGAATTCCACACATAAGAAGCCTCTCTCTTATATTCTGTTGGTTTCTTTTTTAACATGAACGAATCAATTATCCACATGGCTAGATTATCTGTACTTGGCAGTGTGAGAAAGTAAACAATTCATTCTCAAAATTACTTCAAATACCTATTTTAAGGACAGGAATATTTGTTCATTATAGTTTTTAAGTTAATACTTTTGATTTGAATTTTTTAATTTCATGAAAGATAATTGAGCATATAATCTGCATAATATTTTCTACTGCATAGATTTGAGGCATCGCTCGATAGATAATCTGTAAATATTCTGCAAAAGTAAACCATGAGGTGCCAAGAAGTTCTGAATTTTTTAAAGATAAGACTGCTACTGAATCACAAACAGTATGATACTTCGCAGGTTCAAGCTGAGTAATAGATAAATCTAATAGATTTACCTGAATTCTATTTTGCTTGATTACACAGTTAGTCCTCTTCGCGTTTAACAACCAAAACAGATAAACCACTGAAACAATGGCTTTGAACGTAAATAATAGAAAGAGCACAGAGGACTCTCTTGTGAATTTCATTCCTTCTTTTTAAAAAAACAGGTCAATTAAAAACAAAACAAAGACATGAAAATGAAATAAGGACAGAAACTTACCACCGGCACTAGCACTAAGTTTTTGTTCGACAGAGGATAGAGTTTCGACACCCCGCTGAGTATATGTCATTTCGGCCCTAATTTGTTCTAATTCTCGTTTCAGCCTGGTGACACGGTCACGTGCTAAAGCAACATCTGATTTGAGCAAGTCAGGATCATATTTAGTGCTGGCACTACTGGAACTGGAACACACTGAAATAAAACATTCATTAAATATTAAATGACATAGAATGAGGGAATAATAGAAATAATAAAATATTTTTTTAAAAAAACACACTACAAACAAAGAGAGCATTCTCACATAAGTAAGAAATAGCAATTTTGTTAGGCACTTTTGCTGTGCTTTTCTTCCCTAGTGACAAAAATGTTATACCTGCTCTGAGGAGAAAATAAAAACATTGACGGTGAAACTACTACACCACGTATCTCAGTTTGCAGCGGTGCCGACTTCCTGTCGGACTTAGTTTTTTTAAAGCGAAGACCGCTCGACGAGAATTTTTCAAAAGATCCATGATTTTTCTTCCTCCTGCTATTATAACTCTGCAGAAATTTCAAGGACTGATATTGATTTGCTCTCTTTTAAAAAGAAAAAAATGGGAGTGGAGATATTTAGACACAGCGAACAAGATACGTGGTCTGGTAGTTTCAGCGTTGACAAGTAAGTTCTTTCTTGTCAAGATTAGTAGTTGATCATTTTCCGATAGATTCCTGACGTAACGCAACATTTTATCAAATTTCCATAACTTTTGAAGTGCTTCGAAACTTGTCGAAAAAATAATAATTTTCCCAGATTCTCTAGATCAGAAGAAAGTCAAGGGTAATCAAACATCATTATCCAACAAAATGCAATATCTATGTGTCGTAAATTTTTGATCAAATTGAGGTGAGGACTTATAATTTTTCTCATTCCTATGAATAGAAGTTATGAAGACTTACAGCTAGTCCTGGATGCATTAAGAGTAGAAAGAGCATTATGAAGATGGTTGTATTCATCTTGAGCTAAGTACAGCCTTTGTTGCTTGATGTCATAAATTTCTTTCTTTGCCTGGGAACAAAAAAAACAAAAAAGTTAGCGTCGCAATTCAGGAAAATTGTGCAGTTCAATGACACAACTAACAAAATGAAGAATCACTCAAGTATATTAAAGGCATCCCTCAACATCTGATAAAGGTCTCTGAAACATACAGTATCTGAAGGGGTCACCCCGGACTGCTACGCAGTTCAACTCCTGACCAGTGCTTCGCGCCCTGAGAGAATCTCCTCGTTACACACGGAGAAAAAAATGTCGCTTCATATTGAACACCAAAGTTTTCGTTTACAGTAACCGAAATTTTCAGTCACGGTAACCGAACTTTGATTCAGCTGACTGAAATGCGGTTCTGATTACCGAAAACTTTGGTCACCTGAACCGAGAAACTTTTGTCTCATCCAATTCCATTGATACATTACAGCAGAGTCAAGCCGCGATTAACCGCGATATTCGATTATCCGCGATGCCTCGGGTCCCGATCATCGTGCTTGATCGAGACTCTACACCTACAGTGCTTGTATTGCTAGTCCAGAATTTCAAGAATATATCCATGGCTAAAGTGCGAAACCACGCATCTCCTTTGGCGAGGTTGCAGCTTTTGGCAGGGTTCCCACAGAATTTAGAAAATGAAATTCCCTGAAATTCCCCTGACACATTTTGGTGAAATTCCCTGACAACTGAAGATATGGTAAATGGTTAAGAAGACATAATTGAAAATAGTTTTCAGACATAATTTGTGGCTCGAAACCTCAAAGCCATTTTAGAAAGCAAATAAGGAAGATATAACAAATTTTCCCAGGCATTTCCCGGTTTTCCCTGATTTTGTAAAATTCCTTGACATTTCCCGGTTTTCCCTGTCTGTGGCAATCCTGTTCCGATCGTACTTTATTTTTCTTTGGAAAACTGGCCAACGCAATTTCTTGAAAACTTCCTTGATTTCTCTTCTCTGTTGGCAGAATTGTTCTGCATGAATTTCAAGCTACCCAGTTGACTCGTTTCTCCCCGAAAGATAAACTAGGAGTGGAGATTTTGAAACACCGCAAAGGAGATACGTGGTTTGGCACTTGGGCCATGGATAAATTGTCTCTAGCTCTGCGTCGATCCGACAACCTGGTTCCCGATCCGGCTGATTCCAAACAAACTCGGTCGGCCCTGAGATCCAAATTCCATTCCTTTCGACAAGTTGTGATAAAACTCTGCACTGTCGCCACTCGGCGCCGAGTGTCAACAAGATGCTTTCGCGGAAATGAAAATGCCGATGGTCAGTGCGCCACGCGGCGCCGCGCGCCGCAGATGAAAAGCTCAAGTGGGGATCAATCGATAAGGGCTCAAGCTCAGCTACGCTGTCCTACGGAGAAACGTTGTATCAATACTCGAGCCTGGCTGAATTTCCTCAGCTAAAACGCGGATAGGTAGAATGCGCTGGTCTCAGAATACTGCCGTGCTAAGGAAAAACGCCGTATGAACCTTCAGGTGTTGCCAAATTTACTTTTGTAAATCAAGAATTTTCTGGATAATTTGTGAATATTTTTCCTCCAATTTTTCAGATAATTTGGTTCGCAATTTCACCTAAAGTTCCTGAAAATTTTAAGAAAAAATTTTCCCAACTTTCTTCCAGAATAACTCTTTCTCGAGAGGAAATTTGGCAACTCTCGAATGTTCATACGGCGTTCTTCCTTAGCACGGCAGAAAAGTGTTTTGATGCTTGATCAGGGTGTCTACTGAAACAGGCTGGCCAAAAATCAGTTCTTTTGTAGTACTTTTTCAGTACATTCCCAAGAAATTCAGTACCTCCATTTGACGAAGTTCGAAAAATTTCGACAATTTGAAATTATTGCTCGTCATGCGACAAATATGACGTAGACAAACAAAAGTACTATTCCCGAAAATGGGTGGAAATAGGGGGGGGGGGGCCCTCCCAACAATTCTGCTCGGCCCCTTCCGAAAAATGTAAAGGACCCACGCTACTATAATTAGTCTTGAGGTAAAATGCATAGGGAATGTAATAAAAACCAACGGTGCTATGTTGTGAACGAATCATAACTCACAGTAAGATATGATATTTTTAAAACAGGCCAGCAATGTTTCTGTCACCTGTAATATTTAATTCCATTTGATTTGCCATTGAGAATGGCTTAAAATAAATTGCTCTCGAGACGTTCCGATTTTCAAAAATTTTCCGGGGGAGACCCCCCAGACCTCCCTCTACAGCTGGGGGAGTCCTGAGTCCCCCCAGACCCCCCCTTAACCCAGGTTATGTGCCCTCCTGCTTCCTGTGCCCCGCACAGAAAATTCCTGGTTCCACCCATGTTCCCGGACTTTCCGGAAATTTCGGACTAGTATACGCCCTGTTGATTCTTGAGAATCAGCTGAAAATAATAAGATCCGTCCGCACAGCAACTCTCTACGTTCTACTTTGACCGAGATATCGCGCTTTGAAAAATTCGGTTTACGACGTCATCCACCACAATAGTAAAGCCCTTGGTTTCTTCCGCCTTGCTTTCATGAGTCATCAAGACACACATTTACTCTGGTTACCAGAGGCGGATCCAGCAATTTGGCAACACCGGATTTCCTCCATTCAAACCTATGCTAAATAATCGATTCTTGCCGGAGCACCTGGTCCCCTAAGAATCGATACATTTCCAGAGGTTTAAGTGTAGGAAATTCGGTGTTGCCAAATTGCTGAATCCGCCAATGCTGGTTACTCAACGTGAAACTCGGAAGGGTGTCACTACCGCGGTGGGTGGACACGATGAACCGCATCGACCATCCATACAGATCGGATTATACAGATTTCAACACGAGAGTTGGCCCGTAGAGGAGCGTGCTTTAAAATTGTTGCGCGGTGGAAAACCCACGACACAAAAGCCGACATGACGTCTTCTGCAGCGTCCATTCACGTCACGCGAGGTGAGATCGAGATTTCCGACGGTGGTCAAAATAAAAAACGCTCCGAGTTAGATAAACCGGACCAACACCTGAATTTCCAGCAACGTAATCGACTCGGTCGAGATTACAATCCTCGGCTACGATTGACGCTACGTTTTAAGGTGGAAAAAGTCTCGATTACGATTATCTCCACGCTTGCATACAACCAACGGGCGATGACGTATGACGTCCGCGACGCCGGCGCCATCTACAGCATGATCCCCAAGTTTCGCACCACCCCCTATGAACCTCAAGGTTCATGCCCCTTTTCCGGCAAATCCCATTAAAATGTTGAATGGTCCCAAAAGTAGTTTCCTTTAACCTGGAAGCACTTGCAGAATTTCGAGTCTCTGTTTCAATGGACCACTAGACAAGGTACGAATTTCAGCATTCTGATACATGTTTCTTAGTTAAAATTTCACGTAGAATACGACGCGCACAACGAAAATTACCGAAATCAACTCCTGCCAAAGATATTTAATGATTCTTGATGCGTGAATTCAAACCACCCGCTTATGAAAACTCAATGCTCTACGTGATTCACATCGCGCGCTAAACGTTATCATGACAGTGTCTGCGATATAAAAATCCGGCAACCTCAATCTTGACGCTTTAGCTCAGCTATAGCAAATTGCTTATAGTTTGAACAACACATGGTGAGAAATGAACATTACTCGATTGAGGAGCTTGTTGAAACCGTTGTAGTGCGTGATTTGACTCACGTAGAGCTTTGAGTTTCTTGTGAGCGGGCAGTTGAAATTCCTCGTAACCAATGTGAAATAAAAACTTTAATATCTTCGTTTGGAGTTTGTTTCATTAGTTTTCGTTGCGCGAATCGTGCTCTACGTACAATTCTGGTTAGGAAACATGTATCAGAATGCTTAAATTCGTACCTTGTCTAGTGGTCCATTGGAACAAATTATCGAATGGGCCTGTTGCAGGGTGCGGGGATTTGCGAAGCGACCACTGGTTCCGGTGGCAAATTTCGCAAAAAGAACGATGGCGATATTAAAAAATAGACATCAGCTCGAAAACTAAAAAAAAGGGGGCTTTAGGAATCGACCCATTGAAAACGGTCACTTTAACGCGGGGTCGGATCCGGTAAATTCATGACGTCACAGTACAAGACAAACCTGCGGACCGATTATTGAAATTGATAGACAAAGCTATAGACAAAGGAGACAAAAGAGATATAGAGACATCCTATTGGTGGAGGCGGGTGGTTGCAATGGACAAAGGAGGTAGGTAATCGACTAACTAACGGCAACCCACGAGAGACCCGACAGTTAGTCTATCATTTTCCCCCTTTGTCTATAGGAACCACTCATTTCAACCAATAGGATCGCTCCATACTCCCTATGTCTTCTTTGTCAATAGCTTTGTCCATCAATTTCAATAATCAGTCCGCTGGTCTCTTTATCAAGCGGCTGCCAATTCCTTGGGGAGAAATACATTGTAAACGATGAAGAGACAAGGGTTGCCGCGTCACGAAAGTACCGGATCCATTCCCGCGTGAAAGCCAATGTTATGAAAATCCGAATTTTCGGGCGTTCTTAAGTTGATTTTGTGGGGGTTTCCGATAATCAAAAAACTCCGGGGAAAATTCCTGTGACGTCAGGATCTTTTATTTTGTCGCTACAAGCAAAAAAAAAAAAAAATAGAGCAGAGGCCTATAGCCGCTCAGGTGCAATGACCAGGTGAAACCTTAATCACAATAGGTACTTAAAAGTTTCGGAAGATTTGGAAAATAAATGGCCGTAAGCGGGAGAGAGATTTTCGATTTCTTATACAAATGGTGTTTCTCTGAATTTTTCGGAATGGACCACTTGACAAGGTACGAATTTCAGCATTCTGATACATGTTTCCCAACCAAAATTTCACGTAGAACACGATACGCACAACAAAACTTACCGAAATTAACTGCTTACGAAGATATTTAATGATTCTTGATGCGTGAATTCAAACCACCCGCTCATGATAACTCAATGCTCTACGTGATTCACATCGCGCGCTAAACGTTATCATAAACGTCTCAGCAATATAAAAATCTGGCAACCTCAGTCTTGACGCTTTGGCTCAGCTAT